GGGTTGACAAAATCAGAAATGAGGAGGTGAAAAGCCAAGGGAAATCATCAAAACCATTAAAAAGCGAAAGTTAAGACTATTTCAGACATGTGATGCGACACCCGGAAAAATACGGCATCCCTCACTTAATCCTCCAGGGAAAGATTGAAGGCAAACAAGGTCCAGGCAGAAGAAGATGATCATGGCTTCAAAATCTAAGGAACCGGTTTGGATAAAACTCAGCAGCACTTTTTCGTGCGGCTGCTGATAAAAATAGGATCGCCAACATGATTGCCAACGTCCGGTGATGGATATATACTACTACTACTATACTAACTGAATTTATATACCGCCCTACTCCCGAAGGACTCAGGGCGGTGAACAGCCATAGAATAAAACATATAAATACAAAATTTAAAATAAAACAAAAGGAATTAAATAATTTGGCTGAACAAATTTAAAAACCCCAATAATTTAAAAACCCCAAGAATTTAAAAAAAAAAATATGGCACAAGAAGAAGAAAATAAAACAATAGGGAAATAATACTAATCCCCAGCACAGAGTGAAGGGTTTGGCATGCCCTTCCCTGTCTCAGAACAACAGTTTTAAAAACAATCGATCTGCACATGCCGGAGTATAGTCTGGTTGTGCTTTATGGCACGATATTAAAAAAGGGGATCAATATACACTACAGGTAGTCCTCGACTTACAACAGGTCATTTAGTGACCGTTCCAAGTTACAACGGCACTGAAAAAACTGTTTTTCGTATTTATTACCATGGCAGCATCCCTGTGGTCACGTGATCAAAATTCGGATGCTTGGCAACCAACTCATATTTGCGACGTTCGCAGTGTCCCGGGGTCATGCGATCCCCTTTTGCGGCCTTCTGATAAGCAAAATCAAGGGGGGAAAGCCAGATTCACTTAACAAGCGTGTTGCTAACTTAACCACTGCCGTGATTCGCTGTGGCAAGAAAGTTTGTAAAATGGGACAAAATCCATTTAATAACTGTCTCACTTACAAATTCAGGGCTCAATTGTAGTCGTAAGTCGAGGACTACCTATAGTCCTCAACATATGACTTAATTGGGATCAGAATTGCCGTTGTAATCAAGGTGATTCTTAAGTGACTCGCACCCAATTTTACGACCATTTTTGCCATTGGTTGCTAAGCACATCACAGCAGTTGTTCAGTGAAACATATGGTTGTTAAGCGAATCGAGCCTTCCCTACTGACTTCGCTTATTATTGGAAGCCGGCTGGGAAGGTTGGAAGGTAAACATCTGACCCCAGGATGCTGCAACTGTCCTAAATTTTAATCACGTGCCTGTGGGGACTCTGCGACAGTTATAAGTGCAAGAACCACATGTCACTTTTTAAAATACAGTTGTAACTTCAAATTGTCACAAAACGAATGGTGCCAAGTCAAGAACTCTTGTAAACTCACTTCGGTTGCACAAGTTATATTTTTTTAGCTTGCAGCAATCAAATGTGGTTAGGTAAAGGTTCCCCTCACACGTATGTGCTAGTAGTTCCTGACTCTAGAGCGCGGTGCTCATCTACGTTTCAAAGCCGAAGAGCCAGCGCTGTCCAAAGACGTCTCCGTGGTCATGTGGCCGGCATGACTCAACACCAAAGGCGCACGGAACGCTGTTATCTTCCCACCAAAGGTGGTCCCTATTTTTCTACTGGCATTTTTTACATGCTTTCGAACTGCTAGGTTGGCAGAAGCTGGGACAAGTAACAGGAGCTCACCCCGTTACGCGGCACCAGGGATTCGAACCACTGAACTGCCGACCTTTCGATCGACAAGCTCAGCATCTTAGCCACTGAGCCACCGCGTCCCTCAAATGTGGTTAGACTGCAATATTTCAGTTCTCACAACTAGCCAGGATAGTGTAGGAGGTTAGCACCCACCCCTTTCCTGGAAGAGTGAAATATTTTGGGAAATATTAAAAAGGCAGAATATTATGTTTCCCTGTATGAGAAATGGAGAAGCATATTTTTAAAGACAAAGCAGCTCCCACCTTCCTGCCCCCACCCTTTTGTTAATGGGCCAGAGGCAGAAATTCAATCTTTGTCAATGAATCTCATTTGCAAGACGGGACCCATCTAGACAGAAACTCCCCACATGGCACCTGGGAAGATTACATCAACCAGCAAGGCTAGCTAAGACCCCCCCCCTCCGGAAGTCTGACAACCAATCAGGATACTCTTTCTGGGCCCCAGGAAGTTCAAAGCCAGAGAGAGCATAAAGCCCGAAAACTCGCTGTATCTGGTCCCTTTTCTGTTCAGGAACTCAAGCCATGTGATCCTGTCCACCATTAAACCATCTTTCCAAGCAGTCTCCATGTTTCCAGTGTCTTTTTCCCTGCTTGGAGCAGAACCCAGAAGGATATTTCTTCCAACAATAGCAACAGATAATCAGAGTTCAACACGATCTCCCTCGTCATCTTATCATCAGTTTTCACTAAATTAGTCTTCTTCAATAAAGTGCTATATGAATTGTTTAGCGTTGAAGCCCCCCCAGGATATCCCTTGGCATTTACCCTTCCAGTGGTAATTCATTTAACTGATGTCTTTTATCACAATTACAATGTCTCCACTCCTGTAGAGATTTAGTTTCTGTTTTTGAACCAGAAAACCAAATGGAAAAAAAAAAAACCCGTAGGCTGTACATACGTATGTTCCTAGTCATGACTATTTTGGCATAAAACCTTCTCTCAATTAATAGAGCCAACTTTTCAAATTTTGGATCTGATACCAATGCTGGACATAGTTAGAAAAATTGATTTAATAAATAAGGATACCCCGATATATTTATTATTCCATAGGTTTAATGAAATTCATAATTTATTATTACTTGTGTGCCATTTTGGGAGTAAACCCATACTTATAGATGCTGCTTCCTCAAAAGTGAACATCAGGAGAATTTAGTAAGGACTGTTATTTATTGTTAAAAGATTTATGCACAAGTTCAAGGCAACATATATAACCCCTCACAACTCTGTAAGGAATGCAACAGTCTTTAATAGATGTATTATGTACTCCCAGCATTCCTCAAATGGTCAATAATGGAAGTAGGAGGGACGTCGTTTTTATTAGCACAGTTGTAAAATTTCTGTCCAAAGAGATTTTTTTTTTAAAAAAATCACAATCCATTGCAATCTGAAACAAAACGCAAAAATTCTGAGAACGGTAAAATTCTATTACCGTAAAGAAAAGCCGCTCGATGCATTTCCTCTAGATATTCTAGAAAGTGAACTGTTAAGAACCACACCACCGCCTTTCTAAATTTAGATACCATATTTTTTAAAGGATTTTCTTTTTTAGCTGGTAAACCTGCTTCTCGCTACAAGCCAGAATTTTTTTTTTTTGTCAAAGATCATTAAGAAAAAGCCGGAACAACACAACCACACAAGGCCAAGTCTGTAAAAGGAAGAGGAAGGCCATCTCCATATCACAGCCCCAACTGGGTTAAACTGTCAATCTGGATCTCAAAAGGCAACCACCCACCCCCCAAACAATACACACGTACACAAAATGTTTCTAAATTGGGCATTTCCTCCATCTGAAAAGAAAAAAAACCAAACCCACCAGGATGTCTGAAAAGACTCCTGCAAAAGAAAGGATGATTGATTACAGGACCCCTGCATTCCCTTGACGAGGGTGGGAGGGGGATGTCATCCCATTTTATGGCTGCAAAAGGAGACCCCTGGGGAGCCACCCAGCTGCTGTTGAGTGGTGATGGGGAGGGGGGAACAGAGGGAAGCAAAGACATAAGGGGGGTGGTACTGAAAGCCCCCATTATCCTGCCCCAATTTAACAGCAAGGAGTTCATTTATTTAGATTTATCGGCTACCCAACTCCAGTTGACACAAGACACTTTAACACATGCACCTCACTTCCACACCCCCTACCCTATGGATCACAGAAAATCACCCCCAAACAAGGACGATCTTCTCCCACCCACCCAAATTTTACTGGGAAAGGGGAAAAAAAACCACTTTAAACTTTTTTCAAAGCAGACATGGGGGGTGCGGGTGGGGAGGAAGGCAACTCATCCATCCCAGAGCCCTCTTTCCCCACGTAGGGATCTCTGAATCCCCTCCCACTCAGGCGAGCCCCCTCCCCAATATCCTAGCCCTCTCAATGGAGGTTCATTCACTGGGGGTGGGGGGGAAGAAGAGAGAGAAAAGCCAGCCAAAGGGACCCCACTTCCTTCTGCTTCCCATCCACCCCCCAAAATAAATAATATATGTTTTATAAAAAGCACTTTTTCCCCTCCAGGAGCTGGATGGGAAGAAGCGGATGGCCTTGAAGAGACGGAGGGAGGGCAGGAGGAGAAGGGAAGAAGGAAGGAAGGGAGGGAGGGAGGAGGGAGGCAGGAAGGAAGGAAGGAGAAAGAAGGAAGGAAGGAGGGGGGAAGGGAGGAAGAAAAGAAGGAAGGAAGGGGAGGGAGGGAGGGAGGAAGGAAGCAAAAAAGGGAGGGAGAAAGGAAGGAAGGAAAGGAGGAAGAAGGAAGGAAGGAAGGAAGGAAGGAAGGAAGGAAGGGGAGGGAGGTAGGAAGGAAAGAAGGAAAGAAGGAAGGAAAGAAGGTAGGAAGGAAAGAAGGAAGGGAAGGAGAAAGGGAGGGAGAAAGGGAGGAAGGAAGGAAGGGAGGAAAGGAAGGAAAGGAGGAAGGAAGGAAGGGGAGGGAGGTAGGAAGGAAGGAAGGGAAGGAGAAAGGAAGGAAGAAAGGGAGGAAGGGAGGAAGGAAGGAAGGAAAAAAGGGAGGGAGGACCGGGCCGAAGGGAAGCCAGCCGGATAGGAAAGAGCCACAAACGGCCCGAGGAGAAGAGCCTCTCCGGCCGGTTCTGCCCAGAAACCCTCCCGCTTCCCTCGACCACGGGCGGAGGCTCGTCGAGGCTGCCTTCCACCCGAGGCCGAGGCCGGGCCAGGCCGCCGGTTGTTCCCCGCCCGGCGAGGCCGACGGAGCCTGAGGCGATTCCGCCGCCGGACGCGTCTCTCGGGCACTTACAACAAGAAGCTCATGATGGCGGCGGCGGCGGCGGCGGAGCAAGAGCGGCTGCCTCGGCGCGGCTCCCAATGGCAGGCGGCCGCGGCGGGCGAAAGAGGAGGAGGAGGAAGGGAAGGCGGGCGAGCGGGAGGGCCTCCGCCGTCCGGAGCCGCCTCTGCTGGCCGCGCCTCCCCTGGCAGCGCTGCTCCCGCCCTAAGCAGGCAGGCAGGCAGGCAAGGGTGGGCACCATGGGAATTGTAGTCCGACGGGCAGGGAGAGGGTTTGCCTGCCTTGCGGCCGATGGAGAGTCCTCTTTTTTTATTATTATTCCTCTGGGCCTCTCGGGCCTTCCTGGCTGCAGGTGCTATTCAACAGGTGCCTGCCTGCCATCTCTCTCCCTCTCCTTATCTCATCTGTTTACATCTGTCTATCATCTATTATATCTCCCCCCCTCTCTCTCATTATCGACAATCTACCCACAACAAACAATCAATCAATCTATCTATCTATCTATCTATCTATCTATCTATCTATCTATCTCATTGTACCTATCTCTAATCTTCTATCATCTGTTTATTTCTCATCTATCATCTATCTATCATCTATCTACCTACCTACCAACCATCTTATTTATCATTATCTACCTATTAACTTCTATCATCCATCATCTTTTTATCTACTCATCCATCATTATCTACCTTCTATCAATATCTGTCTGTATCTACCTACCTACCATCTTAGTTATCATTATCTACCTATCAACCTCTATCATCCATTTATCATCTTTTTATCTATTCATCTATCCATCAATATCTGTCTGTCTGTCTGTCTATCACCTATCTATCATCTATCTACCTATCATCATTTATTTTTTATTTTATTTTTTTTAATTTATTTATTTATTTATTTATTTATTTATTTATTTATTTATTTATTTTTAAATTTGTATACCGCCCTTCTCCCTGAGGACTCAGGGTGGTGAACAGCCAAGTAAAAAGATAAAACTACAAACATTAAAATACAATTAAAAAGATATATATAAATTTGGCCCCATGATTAAAAACAATAACAGACAATTAAAAACATTTTAAAAAGTGTTAGGCCAGCCTGGCTTGCTGGAAAAAGAAGGTTTTAAGGGCACGGCGGAAGGCACCTTATTTATCATCTACCTATCATCCATCTATCATCTCTTTTTATCTAGTCATCCATCATTATCTACCATCTATCAATGTCTGTCTGTCTGTCTACCATCTTATTTATCATTATCTACCTATCAATCTCTATCATCCATTTATCTTTTTATCTATCCATCAATATCTATCTCTATCATCTATCATCTACCTACTTACCTATCTTATTTATCATTATCCACCTATCAACCTCTATCATCCATCTATCATCTTTTATCTATTCATCTATCCATCAATCTCTGTCTCTCATCTACCTATCAACCTTTATCATTCATCTATTATCTATCATCTCTATCTTTCTCTATCATCTATCATCTACCATCTATCGTCTATCTATCTTATCTATATCTAGGTCTGTCTGCCTGTCATCTCCTGTCTTTATTTTTATAAATGAAATATAAATTTATTTTTATAAATAAACTTGGTGAACATACATTGTACTCCTTCCTATTTTTCCCTCACAACAACCACCTTGTGAGGTGGGCTGCGCTGAGAGAGAGAGAGGGGGGGGGGGGACTGGGGCCAAAAGTCACCCAGCCAGCTTTCAGGCCATGCCTAAGGTGGGACTAGAACTGACTGTTTCCTGATGATTGGCCCAGAGTCACCCAGCTAGCTTTCATGGTGCCTTACCCATTAGACCAACTTTGCAACACCTAGAAGAATTGCTCCGGTGGTTTGCTTGCTTGTTGTTGTCAGGGTGGTAGATATTCATCGGATTTCGTATTTTGGTTTTACTTCTATAAGCTACCTGGAGTCATGAGCCTTGGTGGCGCAGCAGACTAAAGTGCTGTTAAGTAGCACTTAGCTGCCAGCTGCCTGCAATTACTGCGAGTTCAAATCTCACCAGGCTCAAGGTTGACTCAGCCTTCCATCCTTCCGAGGTAGGTAAAATGAGGACCCGGTTTGTGGGGGCAATAAGATGACTGTATAAAAAAGAACACCGCTTGGGGGGCCCCCGAAAGCCCTACTAAGTAGGTATATACAAAAGTATGAAGGCTATTGCTTAACGCATTGTAAGCCGCCCTGAGTCTCCGGAGAAGGGCGGCATATAAATCGAACCAATAAATAAATAAATAAATAAATAAATAAATAAATAAATAAATAAATGAGTCAAGCAGCCATATAAATTTTCTAAATAAATCAATAAATAATAAACGTTATGACCTTTCAAGAGGTCATTGTTTTATGTAGTCGTGTCCACAGCAATCCCCAGTGACATGCACATGGTGCAATTTCACAACGTACTTGAGTACACATGGGTGACGTAAGTAGGTAAACTGCAGCATTTGTGTGATGATGCCATGTTTCATCATTTGCCTCTGGCTGTACGGGTCCAACTCATCTCACAGTGTTGTTGGGGGATAAAATAGGAGGAAGGCATGTTGGGTATGTTTGCTGCCTCGAATTGTTTGTAAAAATAATAAAAGATGGGATACAAGTAAATAAATAATAATCCCCATGGTCAGATGGTTGGTGTAATGCATTCCAACCCATGGTTGGCTTGCTTCAGATGTTCTTCATGGCCCACCCAAATAAAACACCTGGGGGAGAAGGTGTTTCGTTGTGGACAACCACAGGTGCCCTTTTGCCATTGCTAAGAATCCAGAACCAATGGTCCACTGCCCTTCCCCAGACTCATCTGCTATTTCTAAGGATGTACAAGACCCTTTGGAAAGAAAATACTCATGATCCACAGGATGTGCACCTTATGCAGGTCAGGTGGCAGCAGCACCTCAGATAGAAGGTCCCTACAGAGAACGGTGAGGACAGCAGAGATTATAGGAAGCTCGCTTCCTGTTATTCAGGATACTGCTTATAAACACTATGGTGCTTAGAGCTTGAAGCATTGTTAGAGACTCTACACACCCATTTCCCGGTCTGTTTCTGTTGTTGCCCTCTGGGAGGAGGTTTCGAAGTATCTACCGTATAGCAGGACTACCAGATCCTCTTTAATAGCTTTGTTCCCCATGCCATCCATCTGGTAAACTTGCAAGGTTCGTTTTTCTTGCCATGTACATGTATACATCTGAACCAGACTGTGTTGTTTCTCTGTGTCATATAATATATGTGGATATATACATAATTTTCAGGGGTGAAATCCAGCAGGTTCTGACAGGTTCTGAAGAACTGGTAGCGGAAATTTTGAGTAGCTTGGAGAACCAGCAAATACCACCTCTGGCTGGCCCCAGGAGTGGGGAGGGAATGGAGGTTTTGCAGTATCCTTCCCCTGCCACGCCCACCAAGCCACACCATGCCCACCAAGCCACGCCCACCAAGCCATGCCCACAGAACCAGTAGTAAAAAAATTTGGATTTCACCACTGATAATTTTATATTTATTTTGTCATTTTTAGGTGGTGTATTTTAGAGGTGGAGACCCTTTGAGAGCTGTATGAAACGAAATTTCATTTTAATGTGTGCCGATTAGTGTACATTCAAAGTGACAATAAAGTTATTCTAAGTCTTTCAACTTACAAATCCACATCAGATCCCTAACACTGATCAAAGCCAGTTCAACATTTCAACAGTCCTCTTGGCAAGATGTGTTGAGACGTCCTCCATATCATCATTGATCTCGTTTAAAGATCTCCCTATGTAGAGGCGGCTAGAGATTCAAGACAATTATCCTGTTCTCTCTTTGTATCTTAATAAGACCAGCCCCACTCATGGGTGGAAGGAAGCATTCTGATGTACTAAAGAAGGTAGCGAGATGCAAAAATCATACAATACCCATATACAGGTAAGTCCTTGACTTACAACTCTTCATTTAGTGACCGTTTGAAATTACAACGGCAATGAAAGTGACTTATGAGCATTTTTTTACCCATATGACTTTGCAGCCTCGTGGTCACATGATCAAAATTTGGATGCTTGGCAATTGGCATGTACCAGTATTTAGGATGCTTGCAGTATCCTGGGGTCATGTGATCACCTTTTGCAAACCCCCCCCCCAAACAAGCAAAGATCAACGGGGAAGCCAGATTCACTTAACAGTCATGTTACTAACAGCTGCACTGATTCATTTAACAACTGTGGCAAGAAAGGTTGTAAAATAGGGCAAAACTGAGAAATTTTGGGCTCAGCTGTGGTCATAACTTGCATGTTACAGGCCTGATTCACTAAACCATAAGCCACAGCTAAACTCCAGCTCCATCTCTCTCAATCTCTGCAACTATGATGTAAAGACTTCCACTCATATGATGGCTAGGGAATTCTAAAGAGTCGAAAGCTGCACATCTTAAAAAGTTGCCAAAGTTTGGAAAAACATTTGACTCTGGATCTTTCTGGGGAAGGCTGGCAAGGCTAGCCCGGGACTTTAAGAGCCCCCCTCCCCACCCCTTTGCCATAAATGTGCTCTGTATTCGTGAACCCTGGAGAACGAACATACACATAGTCTTCGACTTATGATCGCCATTGAGGACCCCATAATTAGAATAGAATAGAGCTGGAAGGGATCTTGGGGGTCTTTTAAGTCCAGCCCCCTACTCAAGCAATAGACCCAATGCCATTTCAGACAAGTGAAAACCTCAGTGATGGGGCGCCCACGATTTCCACTGGTTAATTGTCCTCAATGTTAGGAAGTTTCACCTCAATTCCAGGTTGCTTCTCTCTTTGATTAGTTTCCAACCATTGTTTCTTGTCCTGCCCTTCCGGTACTTTGGAGAATAATTTGACCTTCTTTGCGGCAGCCTCGCAAATACTGGAAGACCGCTATCATGTCACCCCTAATTCTTTTCTTTAGACTAGCCAAACCCAAAATCTGCAACTGTTCTTCATATGGTTTACTCTCCAGGAAAGAAAGAACATTCCTCCACGCAGGGAGGTCTGCAACCTTAAAACACTCAAAGAGCCATTTGGACCCATTTCCCAGAGAAAAGAAAACACCGGGAGCCACAAAACCCTCCCGGTGTCTGACTATTTCTTGAGCGGCCACAAAACTAGCATATGTAGTTGAATTAAATGTTCTGTTTTCTTCTGAAACTTTTCTTTCCTTGGATTTATCCATGGTTGGCCTACCGGGGGTTGAAGAGCTCAATAAATCGTGTGCCGGCGGGTGTCTCGCATTGGCAATTGTGATGCATATTTTGAGAGGGAGCCGCAGCAGAGGGGTGAAAGAGCCATATGCAGCTCTAGAGCCACAGGTTGCTGACCCCTGCTCCACACACAGACAAAAATTGAAAAGAGGAACTGGGCAGGCTTTTCAGTTTCCAAAACAATCCTTCGGCACTTTTTTCCAAGCAGCTGTCCTATAATCACTCGCATAGCAATTTTTTTAAAAAAAATTGATTTATATGCCGCCCTTCTCGGGAGACTCAGGGCGGCTTACAGTGCGTTAAGCAATAGCCTTCATACTTTTGTATATTTTATACAAAGTCAGCTTATTGCCCCCACAAACTGGGTCCTCAATTTACCTACCTTAGAAAGGATGGAAGGCTGAGTCAACCTTGAGCCTGGTGAGATTCGAACTTACTTTAATTGCAGACAGCTGGCGTTAAATTATAGTGCTTAGTCTGCAGAGCTATCCAGGCTCCTAAACAAAAATTTTCTGTTGCTAAATGAGACAGTCGTTCAATACGTGTTGCCTCCTCTTAATGACCTTCCCTGCCACCACTCTTAAGCGGATCCCTGCAGTTATTAAGTGAAACCAGCTTCCCCCCCCACCCTCATTGACTTTTCCTTTAGTCTACAGAGCCTGGATAGGTCTGTAGACTAAAGCACTGTAATTTAACACCAGCTGTCTGCAATTAAAGTAAGTTCGAATCTTGCCAGGCTCAAGGTTGACTCAGCCTTCCATCCTTTCTAAGGTAGGTAACATGAGGACCCAGATTATGGGGGCAATAAGCTGACTTTGTATAAATATGAGTCCCTAGGGAGAAAGGCCGCATATAAATCGCAATAAATAAATAAATAAATAAATAAATAAATAAATAAATAATAAATAAATAATAAATAAATAAATAAAAAATAAATAAATAAATAAATAAATATACAAAAGTATGAAGGCTATTGCTTAATGCACTGTAAGCCGCCCTGAGTTTCCGGAGAAGGGCGGCATATAAATCAAATTAAAAAAAAAAATAAAAAGTTGCAAAAGCTGGTTCGCACGACCTCCTGCACTGCAACCGTCCTAAACATGACCGTTTTTTTTTTTTTTTTTTTTTTTTTTTTTAGATCTGGGTGGTGATGGGGAAAATAATTGCGGCTTCCCGCGCAGGCGCACGGACCATCTACCCGAGCTCACGTGCCAGGGGAGGGCGGGGCCTCCGCTCCCCACCGCGCTTGCGCAGCCCGTCGTCTCTTCTCCCTCTCTCTCTCTCTCTCTCTCTCTTTCTCCTCCCCCTCCCCTCCCCGGCGGAAGGCCCCGGCGCGCGCGCGTGCGCCGGAAGGCCTAGCTCGGCCGGGGTGGTTGCCACGACGTCGACGAAGCCTCGCTCTCCCATGGCCGGGACTCGCTGGGTGCTGGGCGCGCTGCTCCGCGGCTGCGGCTGTCATTACAGCACTTGCCGCCACACCGGCGCGGTTTGCCTGCCGCCGCTGAGGCCTACCTCTTCTTCCTCCTCCTCCTCCTCCTCTTTGACGCCGGCGTCGCCTCAGGCGGGCGCTTTGGGCCTTTGGGGCCGCCGACGCCTCCTGCTCTTGCTCGGGGCAGCCACGCAGAGCCGCGGGGTCGCCAGCTCGGCCGGGCCGGTGCCCGGCTTCGGCTCTTGGCGGGGGTCTTTGCTAACCCCGCCTCTCGCGGGCCGATGCTACAGCCAGGTAGGCCTCGGAGGGTGCCGGTGAGGGGAAGGGGGAGGGGCAGAACGTCTCTCTCTCTCTCTCTCTCTTTCTCCCCCCTCCCCTTTTTTTTGTACCCCCTCTCACCCCGTCAAGGAGGTTCCTTGGACTACAAAGCCCCTCATCCCCAGCCTCGGGCTTCCTGGAGACCGCCGCTGCGGGTTGAAGGTCATGCGGGACGAAGCCCCCCTCCCCCCACTCTCTCCTTTCCTCCCCCTCCCCTCCCTTCATCCCTTTAATCTTCGCCTATTCGGACTCCTTCCTTCCCTCCTTCCCCTTCTTTCGAAAGGAGAAAAGGCTGGCAACGTTGTGTCCTTTTTGGGGGGGGGCGGCGGTGTTGCTCTCCCGGTTTGTTTGAATTGAACGTTTCCTTACCAGACTAGGTAACATCATCAGCTGGGTTTTTCTTGTGCTGTCCCTCCTTAAGCTTACCAAGGTCTGTTTTCTTTTTTCTATTCTCCTTACCTTATAAATGTTCATTTTCTTGTCTTATTTCTCCTTAGCTTATAAATGTCCATTCTTTTCCTATTCTTCTTACCTTATAAATATCCATTTTCTTGTCTTATTTCTCCTTGACTTACAAATGTCTATTTTCTTTTTCTATTATGCTTACATTATAAATTACTGTTTTCTTGTTCTATTCTCCTTACCTTATAAATGTCCATTCTTTATTCTCCTTACCTTATAAATATCCATTTTCTTGTCCTGTTCTCCTTAATTTACAAATGTGTATTTTCTTTTTCTATTCTCCTTACCTTATAAATATCTATTTTCTTGTCCTGTTCTCCTTACCTTATAAATGTCCATTCTTTTTCTATTCTCCTTACCTTACAAATGTCTATTTTCTTTTTCTATTCTCCTTACCTTATAAATATCCATTTTCTTGTCCTATTCTCCTTACCTTATAAATGTTTATTTTCTTGTTCTATTGTCTTTACCTTATAAATGTCCATTTTCTTGTCCCGTTCTCCTTACCTTATAAATATCCATTTTCTTCTCCTATTCTCCTTACTTATAAATGTCCATTCTTTTTCTATTCTCCTTACCTTACAAATGTCTATTTTCTTTTTCTATTCTCCTTACCTTATAAATATCCATTTTCTTGTCCTGTTCTCCTTACCTTATCTTTTTCTATTCTCCTTACCTTATAAATATCCATTTTCTTGTCCTATTCTCCTTACCTTATAAATATCCATTTTCTTGTCCTATTCTCCTTACCTTATAAATGTCTATTTTCTTGTTCTATTGTCTTTACCTTATAAATGTCCATTTTCTTGTCCCGTTCTCCTTACCTTATAAATATCTACCTTCTTGTCCTGTTCTCCCTACCTTATAAATACCTATTTTTGTCCTGTTCTCCTTACCTTATAAATATCAATTTTCTTGTCCTAGTATCTTTACCTTATAAATGACTATTGTCCTATTCTTACCATCTTATAAATGTCTATTTTCTTGTCCTTACTTTATAAATGTCTGTTTTCTCATCCCATTCTCCTTACTTTATAAATGCCTATTTATAAGCTAAAGAGGGATAGGACAAGAAAATTCTTTTGATGATGTTACCTAGTCTGGTAATGAAATGTTCAGAAACTACATTGAAACAAGCTTGCAGAGCAAACCCTGCCAAAATCTAAAACCAGAGCTAATGTTTCCTATTATTTCAACATTGTATCCTTGGCCCCCACATGGCTGAGTGGATCCCTTTCCTCCTTGGGTTGATCCACAAGGGGAGCGGGGGGGGGGGGGGTTGTGGGAATTGGAGCAACCCCCACCAACCCTTTTGCGAATTATTTTGGGGTGGCAAAAAAAAAAAAAAAAGCATTCCCAGCCCCTCTTCTTGCAATACTTCTGAAGATCCTGGCAGCTCTTCTCTCCCCCTCCCCCCTTTGCTTTGAGGGGTTTTTCCAGACTTTGCTGAGCAGATGCTGAAGTTCGTGTTTGTAGCATTTTTTTTTTTCCTAGCTGACTTTGGCAACTTGTGGCAGAATGGGTAACTCGAATGCCCTTGAGACCTTCAGGAAACCTGTGGCTGTAGCTTAAAACAACTATGGAGTTCTGTGACCTGCCTCTGGTTTCTCTCTCTGGGTCATCTTGGCAGATGACAATCTATTATTCCTGAATACTGTTGATTTGTGTGTGTGTATCCACACCCATACACACCTATATACACGAGTATTAAGGTGCATAATACAATTCTGCATTATTGACACACACAAGGATTTTGAATTTTAGGGCCTGCCTATTGGTTTTCTCTCTTGGTCATCTTGAGAAGCATTATTCCTGAATACTGTTAATTTTTTATTATTATTTTTTTTTTAGGATACCTCAACAATAATTTTGAGGATACACCAGTGGTGGGTTGCCCCCGGTTCGCACCACTTCTATAGAATTGGTAGTAAAACCGGTGGGAGGCTCCGCCCATCAACCCCAATGTCACCAAAATGGTTCTGCGCATGTGCAGAAGCTTCTGCACTTGCATGCACGTGAGCAAAGCGAGCGTGCGCACACGGCCCCATTGCAAACAGGTAGTAAAGATAAGTAGAACCCACCCCTGGGATACACCCATAGACACCCTTACACACACATATAGGTGCACTAAGGTGCCAAAGACAAATTCCTTGTGTGTCCAATCACACTTGGCCAATAAAGAATTCTATTCTAATCTAATCTAATTAATCTAATCCAATCCAATTCTACATTATTGACATAAAAAGGAGTTTGGAATTTTAGGACTTGCATTTGTTTTTCTCTCTGGGTCATCCTGAGAAGCAGTGGCAGGGTGACAATCTACTATTCCTCAATACTTGTGTGTGTGTGTGTGTGTACATGTACATACATGCACACATGTACATATACACATGCATTAAGGCTCATAATGCAATTCTACATTATTGATATACAAAATAAAACTGTGAGGAGACATGCAACGTGTGATTTATCTGGGTAATGTTTACGAGCATTTTTTTTTTTTTACCATGAGATCCTGGGATAAGGCTGACAGTTTGAATTCTGTATATAGCAGGAAAGGCAAATAAAAGGAATCCTGACTTTGAGAGTGGATCAGATTGGTCACGTTTAAGATAAATGCCACAAAATGGAATCATTGGAGTTGTGCGGTGTTGCAGATTTGATTGTAAAGAAATGTTTCAGCACATGTTGCTATCTCATTAAGTATCTGTTGTATCTGTTTCCAAGGTGGGAGTTCTGGAAATAGATGTAGCTGTTTCAATGAGTCACAAATGGCTACTGCATTTGCCCTCCTGTGGGTTTTGAAATACTTCTTCCAATCGAATCTGTAATACAATATGCACAGACATAATGTTCATTTTTGTGCACTGCAAATTATGTAAATAGCTAAAATAGAAACTGGTCTTCATTCGTGAGAAACTTTAATCTTTCCAATTAGTATTTCCCCAGCTTCATGGTAACATTCAAGTGAGTTACACTAAAACTCTTAGAATTCCAAACCGACAGCTCTGGGAGTATAAATCCTCTATAGCAATCCTTTCATTGAGGGCTGCATCAAGATTGTGTTTGACCTCAAGGGGGGGGGGGCGTGGCCAGCTCGAAATCATTCATCGAGGCTCCTTTTTCAGCCTCCTGGAGCCCTCTGCCAGGGAAAATGTTGCTCGGCGAGGCCATGTGCAGCCCCCCTCCCAGTTCAATTTTCGCTGGCAGAGGGCTGCAGGAGGCCGTTGTGGCCGAAAAGGGAGCCTGAGTGAGCCGCGCATGGCCTTCCCGAGCTCCGTTTTCACTGGAGAGGTACCGCGGACTGGTCCTTTGCTGTTTCCAGGGTTGGGCCTACAGGCCAAATCTAAGCCTTGAGTTTGACACCCCTGCTCTATAGCATACTAGGTTGGCAAAGTTCCTCCTAACTCTTTTTATCTTGATCCTGAGTATATTTTCTTGTAAGTTGCAGGTTATCTATATAGTACTGAAGACCTGTTTCTCAAGGCCATATGAAAATAGCCAGGTACATGATTAAATAAATGGATCCTGGGCAGTCCACTAAACTCATAGCTTGTTTAAACTGAGGTTGCTGTAAAATATTACGGAACTGGTTTTATTTCTCCAGAGTAAACTTTTTCTGCTTTGTAGCATCCATCCTTAGACTTCTGCCTGTGTCTCAAGATTCCTATTTCTCATATGTTGTAACACACCTAGGGACTCACGTGCAGTCGCCAATCTTATGACTGGAATTCATTGTGTGTCTTTGTGATTAATTGACTGCTAATAATAATCATATTACAAGAAAAGCAGTAGAACCTGTCCTTTTGATATCCCTCACATTTTTCAAGATGTCCGTGTGAGAATATTAAACTCCTGTGAAATCCCTCAACATGGAAAGGCCTTGAGCCTTTCTAAAAAAAATTTAATATTAACACTTCATTACTTTTCAGCTTCTGCAGCTTCCAGAGGAACTGTTATCATTTTGCCAGGCCCCAAAATACAGTTACAAGATTTTTTAAAAAAATTCCTGTCTCTCTTTGCAGGATCCCGAGTCTTCTTATCAAGAGGGATATCACTTTCCCCCAGAATACGAAATCTCTGCGGAAGAAGCAGAAGGGCAGAGGGAAGTGCATCTGATTCGGGCCCAAGGTTTGCCATATGACTGCACTGAGGAAGATGTTCTCAACTTTTTTTCAGGTAACTTCATTGTCCTAATCAGACCAATGTCCAGCCACTGAAGGCCACCACCTCATGGGCATAAAACATATTGTGTTATGCTTCGCATATATTTTGTGATGTTCAGGGTATATTTTGTGACATTGCAGCTGATGTCTGTCTTAGGCTGGCCATGGAAAGTTAAACAGGATTGGATTTGGTTATTATTTGGAAGGAGACCAGTAGGGAATCCTTGGGTTATTGTCAGGTGCAAGCAACCAGATCCACTCATGTCCAAGGTCCAAGTCAGGTACCATATTTTTTGGAGTATAAGACACACCTGACTATAAGACGCACCTACACTTTTTGGTGAGGAAAACAAGAAAAATAAATCTCTCTGCCTCCCAGCAATTTTGCCTCGTTGCAGCAAACAGCAAACAGCCTGCTTTACTTTCATTTCCGTTTTCAGCATAGCTTGATTAGCATAAGGAAAAAAAAATCTGCTCCTTTGTGCAGAGGCCCGCACAAAACAGCTGAGAGTCGGGAGGCGGATCCAATCAACTTGTGCTAATTAGGCTGTGCTGAAGCTGAAAGGAGCTGTTTCTTCTTGCTGTTTGCTGCAAGGAGGTAACTGCTGGGAAGCAGAAGCCAAAGGGTCAGTGGGTGGATGGGTTACATTCGGTGTATAAGACGCACCTAAATTTTCACCCCCTTTTAGGGGCGGAAAAGGTGCGTCTTATACTCTGAAAAATACAGTACTTTATTGCGTTCTGCCTGTCTTACACGTTTCTTCAGACTGCTTTCCTTGGGAACAATCAGATAAGGTTTAATGGAACTTATGAAGGATTAGGTTTATGCCTTCTGAAGCTGTGCAAGGACTCAAGGCTGTTTCCCCACTTGACTCCTCCTCACTGTTTGATGGGGGGTTTCCCGACAGTTATAGAGTAACTATAGCTGAAGAAGGCAGCACCTTGGAAAAAAACAAGGCCACAGCCAAGATTAAAGGGATATGTTATTTAAAAAGCTACAGTTGCAAGCAGAGGGGGACAATATATAAAAAGTATTCCTCAACCCAATTTGCGATTTTAGCAGTGGTTGAATTTGAGGCTGTTCCACAAGCTAGAGACAGAAAATAATCACCTAAAATAAATGTATTAGTGTGTTTATACTAGACTCATACCTACATTTTAAAGAAAAAATAGCATGTTTTGACTAAAATTATCCTACAATATTTATTTATATTCCATCTTTATTATTTTTATAAATAACTCAAGGCAGTTAATATTCCAACACATCATCTTCCTCCTGTTTTCCTCATAATAACCTTGTGAGATGGGTTGGCCTGAAGAGATAGTGACTGGCCCAAGGTCATCCAGCCAGCTTTCAGGCCTAAGGTGGGACTAGAATTCATCAACTCCTGGTGATTGGCTCAAAGTCACCCAGCTGGCTTTCATGGCTAAGGTGGGACTAGAATTCATCATCATCTAGTGATTGATCCCAAGTCACCTAGCTGACTTTCATTTTAAGGCAAGATTAGAACTCATTGTCTCCTGGTAATTGGCCCAAAGTCATCCAGCTGGCATTCATGAGTGGGATTAGAACTCAAGAGTTTTTTGGGATCTAGCCCTGGTGCTTTCACCACTAGACCAGGGGTTGGCAACCTGCAGCTCTGGAGTCGCATGTGGCTCTTTCATCCCTCTGCTGCGGCTTCCTGTCGCCAGTCAGCTCCACAATTGATAGGACTTTCGGTTAGGATAGGTAGAGGAAAAAGGATGCCGCTCTAGAAGGAGACTCTATGGTGGGTGATCCGGACTTCCGGTTGGCTCCAGAATTGAACAGGGGGCTTCCGGTTAGGGCCTTTGTGGCTCTGAGTGTTTAAAGTTGCCGACCTCTGCACTAGACCAAGCTGGGTCTTGAAATACTGACAAGATTACAGAAGTTTTGAAGCTGGGGCTGGGGAATATCAAATGCAAAAACGTTCAAATACATTCCACTTTATTCATCTTATCTGGGGCGGGGGAGGGAGGGGGAGAAAGAAAGTTGTCTTGTGTCTCGTCATCGATAAACTTGCTAACTTTCTAGGGAGCAAGATCCGAAACGGTGTGGAAGGCATCCATTTCCTCCTGTACCGAGATGGTAAGCGCAGAGGAGATGCAATAGTTGAACTTGAATCAGAACATGATGTGATGAACGCCTTGAACAAACACCGGAAATATCTGGGCCAGCGCTATGTGGAAGGTACTTCTTGCAAAATGACCCCAAAGTCCTTTGCCTGACTGGTATCTATTTCTAAATAAATTCACCATTTTTTCCCCCCCTTTCTTTTTGTTTTCTTGGACTTCCCAACAGTTTTTGAAATACGTAATAAGGACGTTGATACCCTAATGAGGAGCCTGAAGTTTCGTTCAGCGCCCGTAAACAATGATGGGGTGGTACGACTGCGAGGCCTGCCCTACCGTTCCACGGAAGTAGATGTAACGGAGTTCTTTTCAGGTGACGCGGCCTGGAGCCTCAATTCTCTCTTGTCTGTCTGTCTGTCTGTGGATGTGTGTGAATTGGATCATGGAGTTGTCTTTGGATGAATAGAATAGAATAGAATAGAATAGAATAGAATAGAATAGAATAGAATAGAATAGAATAGAATAGAATAGAATAACAGAGTTGGAAGGGATCTTGGAGGTCTTCTAGTCCAACCCCCAATGAAATGATGAGGAAGAAAGAGGAACATGGGGGGAGGTAGAGCCTTGTCTTAATCTGCTAACCACCTCCAGATTAATGGCACCCCGGCCCCTCCAGCAACCGAATCAGAGGAGGCATGGGAGTCAGGGTCAGCATCAAGGCAACCTGAGAGCTCTGAGGGGGAAGAGGGAATGGAGCTGTTAGAGAGACAGAGGCGGAGCCTGGGCCGTCCGTCAATCCTCAGATGGAGAGTCAACAGCCTCCAGGTCTGGAGGTGGCTGATGAGGAAGAGGAGGAACAGCTGGGTCCAGTGCCTGACGCACAGATTCGCAGAAGGCAGAGGAGAGGAGAGCAATGGAAATCTATGGGCCAGTCCTTGGGATGGAAGAGCCACCGCTACTAGCAAAGTCCCACCCTACCTCTGGGGATACAAGGCAGGGGGCGGAGATGAATAGATGTGGCAGACAACTACTCATCTCCCTGCCGGAAGGACTTGTTAGCCTGCGTTGAGAGAGAAACTTTTTGCCGGGGCTGCTGTCGCTCCTAATAAAGGAATTGTTGATTTAACTTCAGAGGGTTTGTCGTGTTTGGGGAGCTGGGTCCGAACACCCTGTTGGGGCTCCAGGACAATTGGCAGAGTTTGGTCTTCAGCCCCTTTCAGCAGGTCAGCAAAGGGTGGCTGCAGATCTCATCTCAGGGAGGGGCAGGATGTCCCAAAGGGCAGCAACCACGGCAGAAAAGGCTCTTCTGGAACCTGCTGGCCAAAATTCCTTAACCAACAGAGTTTGTAGCCTGATCCATCTGCTGGCGCAGGTGGAAAGGGCCTACCCCATTGAGTTGAGATGGTTCCTCAGAAGCAATGAATTGCTTTTAGTTTTTCTAAGACAATAATTTAGGCTATCACATAGGCTTGCCCCCTAATGTCTGTGCCCAGCTCCACATTTAAAGGTTTGATCATTCGGGGACGAAATACATCGACCCGCGAAGTGTTATATTTAAGAGAGGGTCTGCACATTTTATTTCTCTTACCTAGAAATTGCAAGGCACGTTTTCGGAGGACCAGGGTGATTATATTGACATGCTGCAAAATGTCTTCTCTTTCAGGTTTGACTATACAAGACATAGTATTCGTCTTTGACCACGACGGAAGAAGGAAAACGGGAGAGGCGTTTGTACAGTTCGCCACACCGGAAATGGCTAATAAAGCTTTGTTGAAGCATAAGGAAGAAATTGGGAACCGGTAGGAAAATCACAGAAAGGGGGGGGGGGCACTTTTAAGAGGGTATGAGTGCTTGCACACCAGGCAAATGGCTTTGGGTTTTATTTTTAATAGGCATTGACTCTAGGGTGGGCAGGGTGTTTTGGGGGGTTTTTTGTGTGCGTGTGATGCATACTGAAAGTTTTGGTGTTTGAACTGAGCTTTTCTATATATTAAAAAAGCTGCTTTGATAATAATCATGGCCTAACTCTTTCTCTTCAAAAACTTTCTAGCTACATAGAAATATTCCCGAGCCAGAAAAGTGCAATTCGAACACATAACGACTTTTTCCGATATAAGAAGATGATGGCGTCTACGGTGCCAAAACCGTGTTCTGAAAACATTTTTGAAGAAAGCAAATTGAGCGAGGTCTCGAAGCCCAGTCCGGTGTATGAAAATGAAAGCAGAAGCGGTGAGCGTACGTCATATTTGTTCGAAGTCAGCTTCCCAGAAACATTTTTTAAAAAACGGACGGCAGGAAAATGATCCAGTGGTCCATCAAGTCTGCCCCATTTTGGGGGTGGGGTGGGGTTAGTTTTCGTTTTTATTTACCGTGTTTTCCCAAAAATAAGACCCTGTCTTATATTTTTTTTGAACCCGGAAATAAGCACTTAGCCTTATTTTCGGGGAGGTCTTATTATTTTGGGGCGCATGGAGCTCTTCTTGCCGTCTTACTTCCAGCTCTGTGTTTAAATATTTTTGGAGAGGGCTTATTTTCAGGGGGAGGCTTATTTTAGCGCATGCACTCAAAAGCCCAATTGGGCTTATTATCAGGGGATGTCTTATTTTCGGGGAAACAGGGTATTTACTTATTTATGGTTCATCGCACAGACAGACAGTTCATGTGCAGACTGGATTTGGCCATTTTTGTCTACCTATCGAGCACTTCCGGAGGATCTGGGATAGGCAGATGTGGTTGTTTGATGGTGTTAGAGGTATCGCCACAGGATGTAAGCTGTTCTTAGTAAAGCTGCCTTTTGCAATTGACTGATGGTGAATCGGTCAATGCTAATGGTGTTCAAGTGATGTTGCAGTTGTTTTGGGATTGCCCCCAAGGCACCTATTTACTATTTTTTTTCTTTGGTCACAATAGTTTTATTTCTGTTTGCAGGTCTTTATATTTTGTTATCATTTCCAATTCTTTCTCTTCCGTTGTCTTCAGGTACTGGAGACATCCCCTATCCAGAGTTTTTTGTCTTTCTTACTGATAATTGTTAAGTCTGGTGTGTTATGTGGCAGGGGCCTGTCTGCTTGAATTCCAAAGTCCCAGGGCACTCTGACGTTCTCTTATTTTAATTTTTGTTGGATGATAGACATGTGTTTATCCCAAACGTGTTTAAACTCAAGTTACTGACAATCGACCCACTACCTTGCCTGGAAGTTGGTTCCAAGTTTTCACTACTCTTTTTTATGAAGTCATACTTTCTAACATTGCTTTTGAACTTCTCTCCTCTCAGTTTGAGTTGATGTCCCTGGGTTCTTGATTTTGGCTTAATATGGAAAATACTGCCTTCTAGAACCTTATTCACACCAAGAGTGGGATTTGGGGGTTCTCCGAACTGCACAGAATCTTAGCTAGAGGTTCTCCCGAACCTGCAGCAGCCCACCCGTGCCTTCAGACCTTCCACCATTTTTGTCACCCATCTCTGGACATGCTCAGTCATACCATTATCTTTTTTTTTTTTTTTTACGGTCTCCAGAAGTATAAAAAAAATTGAACGGCACATAACTATAATTTGCGAATATTTGTTCTGCTTGATTCCACAGAGGCTTACAAGCAAGTATTTGAAAAGCCTCAGGAGGCGGCTGAATCGGGAAGCTTCTCTGCCCCTTACTTTGTCCACCTGAGAGGAATGCCTTTTCAAGCCACAGCGCAAGATATCATCCAGGTATGTTTGGCCGGGGGGTGGGTGGGGTAAGGCTGTTTCAAACAGTTTCAAAAGGTGTTAGTTATCACCTTTAAAGTGCTCCATGGCTTAGGGCCTGGGTACCTACGAGACCGTCTTTTGCCACCAATAGCCTCCCACCGACCAGTTCTCACAGGGAGGGACTACTCAGGGTACCGTCAGTCAAATTATGCCGACTGGCGACTCCCAGGGGGAGGGCCTTCTCTGTGAGGGCTCCAACCCTTTGGAATGAACTGCCCCCGGAGATACGGAATATCCCTGATCTCCGTGCTTTCCGCCGTGCCCTCAAGACCCTGATGTTCCAACAGGCGGGGCTAAACATATGAACATGTGAATGATTTTTTAAAATGTTATCTAATTCTGGGTTTTATTTAATTGACCAAACTAAGTAATAATTTTAATTAGCAATTTTATGATGTTTGTGTATCTATATTTTTCTTGACTGTACACCGCCTTGAGTCCTACGGGAGAAAGGCGGTATAGAAATATAATAATAAATAAATAAACATCCTTGAGCTGCTGTGGGTAGAAAAAAGCCTGCCTTCAGCCAGTGACTCGGTCACTGCAACTTGCAAACAGATCAGATTAACACGAAACTAGTTGTACAAACCACTGGCTGGAATGCATTTCTTTGAAATTCTTTAAAATAGCATTTTACCACAAGAAAAAAAGATAAGTACATGACAGCATTAATTACAATTGTTTGCCTGAGAAATTGAGCGATAATGCTTTAGCATTTACATTACCGGTAGTTCTCAACTTTGTTTAGCGGCCATTCGAAAGTACAGCGGCACTAAAAAAATAAAAATAAAATTATGACAGTTTTTCACACTTACGACCATTGCAGCATCTCTACAGGCACATGATCCAAATTCAGATACTTGGCAACTGGCATGTATTTATGACAGTTTCAGTGTTCCGAGAATCATGTGATAAACTTTTGTGACCTTTTGACAAGCAAAGTCCATGGGGAAGCCAGATTCACTTAACAGCCGTGATACTAACTTAACAGCTGCAGTGATTCACTTAATAACTGTAGCAAGGAAGATGGTAAAGTGGAGCAAAACTCTTTTAACAACTGTCTCGCTTAGCAACGGAACTTTTGAGCTCAGCTGTGATCCTCGTAAGTCGAGGACTATCAGTATCAATTATAAATATAGAAGTATATTGCATCAGTTTGTATTCAATCTCCGCTTCTAACGTTCTGACATGATTTCATAATCGGATTAATCAAAATCTGACTTGTCCCCCTCCTGTTTTTTGTTCTCTCCCTTTTTTAAGTTTTTTGCTCCCTTAAAGCCTGTGAGGATCACAATGGAATATAATTCATGCGGCCATGCGACCGGAGAAGCAGATGTACATTTTGAAACGCACACAGACGCAGTTGCCGCCATGGCCAAGAACAACTTTAAAGTCCGTAAGTACCTCTTGTGAATTTTTCACAGGTTTGTGGGGTTCGAAAAGCAGTGGCGGGCAGCGCTGCAGATTTTTGAATTAAACCAATGTTCAGGAAGATGCATTTCCTAAAGGCGGGTGTTAAGTCATAGCACTGGGATGGTGAACCTATGGCACGCATGCCCGAAGTGGCACGCAGAGCCATTTCGCCTGGCACGCTTGGTATTGCCTGTTCCCCTTCTGGGTTTCTGGCACATGCGCTCGTGATAATCAGCTGGCCTTCTTGTGTGCAACAGTGCCGGAAACTGGAAGAGCTGTTCTTCCGTTTTCCTGCGTGAGAATGCATGCCAGCCAGCTGATAGTTGTGTGCGCTGGAAACCAGAAGTTCATTTTCAGCCGCGCACATGTGCCTGTTCTGCCCCAGCTACGGGTCCCAAGAAGTGTAGCACACACACACAGCTCCAAAAACTCCATTTAATACGAACAGACCCCTTTCAAAATGCAGGCTTTAGCCACAAATGTCCTTATCAGCCTGCTACGAATTACAGAGATTAAACAAAGTCCGACAAGGGTTGGCAATCAGCCCAGAAACCAAGTTGTAACAAAAAACTCACTCTCAAAATGCTCTGCGTAGGACCAAACGTTGCTTCCAGCAACATTTGCCAGCTGTGTCTGAACTTAAATAGGCTAAGGGAGTGGCCAATTAGTCCCAAGCCTTACTCTCAAGGAGACCTCCTCCTGAGTAGCCACTCCTGCCTTTTGGCAGCCCTGCATGCTTCAGCATTGAGAAGAGGCTCCTCCACTTCACTCTCTTCACTTGAAGGAGCCTCTAGAGGTCCTGAAGGCCCTGGCTGAGTCTCTGCCTCTGGCACCACATCCTCTTCAGCCTCCTTGCTGTCCGACTCAAGCACCGGCTGCACAGGCTGCTGGCGCGACACCACACCAGCCTCCTCGTCGTTGGGATCAGCCACGATCCGCGCAGGCCACTGGTGGGCCACAACAGTGCCCTGGGCAGCTCCTCTTCTGGGTTGCAGCCCAGACAAGCCCGTGCGCACTCTCTCTTTTCGGCACTTGGTGCCGAAAAGGTTTGCCATCACTGTCATAGCACATAGCGCATAAGAGATTGCTTCAGATTAATTTTCCATTTATTGTAGGAGAATTGCTGAGAGAGTTGGGAGGGCAGAGTTAAACACATCACCAGTTTAGAGTCATTGCGTTCCCACAAGTGCTCCCAAGTCCCAACCCCTCCTGAATGCCGTTGACTCATACAGATAGTCCTTGACTTACAACCTTCCATTTAGTGATCGTTCGAGGTTACAATACTACTAAAAAAAAACTGATGACCATTTTTCACATGACCCTTGCAGCATCTCCATGGTCACATGATCAAAATTAGGACGCTTGGCAATGACATGTGCTTATGGCACTTGCATGTGCTTATGTGCTTATGGCACTTGCAGTGTCCTGACCTGGCAAGCAAAGTCAATAGGGGAAGCCAGATTCACTTCACAATCGTGAAGTTGCTAAATAACTGCAGTCATTTACTTAGCGACTCTTGCAAGAAGGGTTGTAAAATGGGGCAAAACTCACTTTTTAGCAATGGAAATTGTGGGCTGAATACTGCTCGTAAATTGGCACCAATTTACTAAAGTTAGTGTTGAACTTTAGTTGGCCAGATTCTTGTATGTTGGCTTGAATAAAATCCTCTTTTGCTGCAGCCTTACCAATGGTCCTGATTCTTCGTGCCTGACATTTAATTTTCTTTCATTTTGCAGAGCATAGTTATATTGAATTATTTCTGAATACATCACCAAGCAGAAAATAGAACAGCCTACGACAGTGGTATATTTCCCAAAGTTTAGGTGAGTTCATCGACAAATTTGTAGTTAAAGGAATGCGTGCCTCGTTGAGGAATGTCTGAATTTTGCGGCAGTTAGCGTTTTTGTCAAACCAGCCCATTCTGATACCTTTGGGAAGAACCATGGGCGAATGGTTGCAGAAGCTGATGGGAGTTGGCTGAAATGGCAAAATTGACTATTTTGATTAAATAAAAGAATACAAATGCTTTTGTTTCCACGTGGAGACCGCTTCTGAACTATGCGCTTGAAGTGGAAAAGAATGAAATTTTGATTTTGGGTTTTACCGATTAGACTGATAGATCCTTATAGAAATGGCTAGTTTATGTTATTATGAAAAAACAAAAAGTTGTGATTTGATGTCAGTGCCCTATTTTACTGCAACAGAGAAAGTCAGAAGTCAGTGCTTCTTTTTCCTAATCTTTCCTCACTTTTCTTTCCCCCTTACTCCCTCCTTTCTCCTATTTTCTTTCGTATTTTGTATCTTATTTTAGAGAATAGAATAGAATAGAATAGAATAGGAGTTGGAAGGGACCTTGGAGGTCTTCTAGTCCAACCCCCTGCTTACGCAGGAAACCCTACACCATTTCAGACATGGTTATCTAACATCTTCTTTAAAACTTCCATTGTTGGAGCATTCACAACTTCTGGAGGCAAGTTGTTCCACTGTTCTAACTGTCAGGAAATTTCTCCTTAAGTTCTAAGTTGCTTCTTTTATCTTATAACTCAATAAAAATGTTAACGGGAAGAGCCCAAGGCAGCTTTGAAGGTGATAACTTTTTCCTGCTATTAATTCCTGATATGCAGAGGCATTGTCAGGTCCCAGATATTTCTACAGGGATGCTGGCATTTTGGTGGGAGGAAGGGGGGGGGAGGAATGGAGTGATCTGTATATGAAGTTTCTGTTTCCTGCATTACTGTGCTAATCTATATGAAGTCTCTGTTTCTGTTTCCCTGCAATGATGTAGTGTGGTAGGGGTTTGGTTAGCATTGCTTTAAATAGCTGGTTTTAAGTGAGAAGCTTCAGTTCTTGCCTAGCCCTCTTGTCATCACAAACCTTCCAATAAAAGCTCCTTTTGGAACCGCTGCAGTTTCAAGAGTCCTGCTTTCTTGGGAACATTGGAGAGGCAAGATCTTAACAGGCCTGTTTTTTCTGGGAGAAAGTGTGCCATCGTAATTGGCCGTTGTGTTGGGTAACTGAATTCTCCATAAATGTGACTTCTCAGTGACCAATTTCACACAAAAAATTGTTTGGACCAAGAGGAACATACTGGATTTTTTTTTTTAGGACTTACTTTTTAAATTGTTTTAATTTTTGAAATGGACATAAGAAATCGGCTAACAATTGGGCAGCATAGCAGACAGGTTTTCTATGAGATGAGCCTGTTCACTGGGATCAATATTTTATATTCATGTTGTTCTCTAATCTAGGGGTCTCCAACCTTGGCAATTTTAAGACTTGTGGACTTCAACTCCCAGAATTCTGGTTGGAGACCCCTTCTCTAATCAGTGGTCCTGTGCAAACCTATCTATTCACATTTATGTCCCTGCAATCACCTTTAAACTGCTACTTATTCAGGTTTTTGCAGTCATTAAACCTGGGAGAGAATCAGGCTTTTTCCCCCCATTTATTTCGTGTAGCTTCATTCTCGTATCAATTACGGTAATTTCAATTCTTTGAAACTCAATCTCAAATCCAGGCTGTTATCTGAGCTTTGTTCTATTTAAGTACCGCATTTTTCGGAGTATAAGACGTACCTTTTTCCCCCCTAAAAGAGAGTGAAAATTTGGGTGCGTCTTATACACCAAAGGTAGCCCCGCCCACCCACCAGCCCCCACCCTTTGGCCTCTGCCTCCCAGCAAATTTTCCTCCTTGCAGCAAACAGCCCATTTCAGCTTCAGCACAGCCTGATTAGCACAAGCAGTTGATTGTAGGTTGGATCGGCCTCCCGACTCTCAGCTGTTTTAGGCTGCAGAGATTGCCATTGCCTATTGCTGTGCAGGCCTCTGCTGTTTGCTGCAAGGAGGCAAATTGCTGGGAGGCAGAGGCAGATATTTTTTTCTTGTTTCCTCCCCAAAAAAGGTAGGTGCGTCTTATAGTCCAGAGCGTCTTATACTCTGAAAAATACGGTAATTAATTGTTAAGTCAGGACCAAATTTACTTCATTTATTTTACTGGGAACTATGTGATTTGAGTCCATTGACTAAAGTTACACATTGCAGTAAGTCATTATTATCTAACTGTACAGGTAGTCCTCGACTTATGTTCATTTAGTGACTGTTCGAAGTTACAACGGCACTGAAAAAAGTGACTTATGACCAGTTTTCACTTATGATCATTGCAGCATCTCTCTGGTCACGTGATCAAAATTCAGACATTTGGCAACTGACTCATATTTATGACGGTTGCAATGTCCCTGGGTCATGTGATCCTCTTTTGTGACCTTCTGACAAGCAAAGTTAATAAGCGTAACTAACTTAACACTTGCAATGATTCACTTAACAACTCTAGCAAGAAAAGTTGCAAAATGGGGCCAAAACTTAACAAATGTCTCACTCAACAATAGATATTTTGGGCTCAATTATGGTCATAAGTCTAGGCCTACCTATACTTATTTTATCAATTTGTGCAAAGAACAGGAAAGTTATACCAAGCAACACCTGTACTTCAGAATCCTCAAAGAAACAAAGATTGCTTGATACTCCTTGATTTATTTATTTATTTATTTGGCTTAATGAATGTCATTTGAGTGGCATTCTTGACTTCTTATCCTAAGGTAGGGAAATAGGCAGAGGTGGGATTCAGCTGTTTCGGAATGATTCGGGCGAACCAGTAGTTGCAACCTCCAGGTGGGCCCGCCTGGGCACAATCCCGTCCTATATCGCTGTTTTTTGATGCTGCATGCATGCACGGATGGAGCATGCGAGCGAATTAACATGTTTTTGATGCAGTGCTCAAGGCGTGCACAACTCACATTTTCAATTCTGGGCAAACCGGTTGTTAAATTATGTGAATCCCACCTCTGGAAATAGGCCAGTGTTCCTCTCTGTTTATTTGCTTCTGTTCTCTTTCTCAACAGATAAGCTAAGATGCTTTTCATCTGCACGTTCCTAGAGCTGGACTATTAATTCCCGTCGCCCCCGAATTGCCTTTCAAAGAAACTCCAGTGGCTGTGTCTGAAATCCTTACAAAATGGTTGTGCAGGCTCTGTTTTACGTAAACCAACATTAAAGTTGAACTCTACTTAACATATTGCTACAGTACATTTCCTGGTTGGTTGGGAACCAAGCTGAGAAGGGTCCACAGCAGCTTTGGTTGTCCATTCTGACCATCACTGGTGCTGATGGAAAACGCCTTTCATTTCAGAACATCTGGCTAACAAAGCCAGCTCGATCATTAAAGGGTCCAGTCATCCTCCAGCAGAGAGAGAGAGAGAGAGAGAGAGAAGAACTGCAGGAAATGGTGGCCATGTACCTGCTCAGCCGTGGTACATTTGAGGATATGAATAATTTTGTGTGTGAAACTTAGCATGAGTGTCAGGTTTTCAGGCTGTCTAGGATAAATGCATCTTGACGTGCTGACATCGAGGGCTTTGAGATAGGAACTTGGAGGAAATGTTAACCAGACACCATATGGATGAAACTATACCACGGGTGTCAAAACTCACCACATCATGTTGCTGTCACGTGACATTTTGCGACATTTTTCCCATTCACAGAGCTGGGGTGGGCGTGGCCTGCTTGTGACGCATCTGGCCCGCAGGCCGCCACTTTGACACCCCTGAACTCTACGCATGAAAGAATGTGATTATGAAAGTATCTTATATCGGGGGATGTCCAGCCTTTCAGACCAGTGGACTTCAATTCCCAGAATTCCCCAGCCAGCCAGTGAGGCTGGGGAATTCTGGGAGTTGAAGTCCCAAGTTTGAAAGTTACCAAAGTTAGACACCCGTTCTATATTGTAATAGGATTAAGAAGCTTGATTTATATGCTATGCTTTTGTAGGCAAAATTTGGCATCCTAGCTAGTGCAGGGGTCTCCAACCTTGGCAACTTTAAGACGTGTGGACTTCAACTCCCAGAGTTCCTCAGCCAGCGGCTGAGGAACTCTGGGAGTTGAAGTCCACACGTCTTAAAGTTGCCAAGGTTGGAGACCCCTGCTCTAGTGGCTGCAATAAAACCCTACTCATCTCGAAAAGTCTTGAATATTCCTGGGCAATAGGAATACTTCCTTTCCCACCCTTGAACTTCCACATTTAGCTTTCGCTCTCCAAATTGTTTAGGTTGAGGCCAGGGAACTTCCCCATTAGCAGGTATCATACAAAGAGATGGGGATGAGGCCTAGGTGATCACGAATGAACAATTTCCTTCCTAAGTTTTGATAAAAAATTGTAGTGGTGGGATATCAGGAGTGACATCATAGCAGAAGGGACCGGACTAGGGATCTCCAAACTTGACGACTTTAAGACTTGTGGACTTCAACTCCAAGAATTCTTCAGCAGCCTCACCGGCTGAGGAATTCTGGGCTTGACGTCCGCAAGTCTTAAAGTCGCCAAGTTTGGGGATCCCTGGACTGGATAGAAACTGGATTGCTTAGGTTCCCCTGGCCACAGCTAGAAAATTCTGCCTTCCTAAATAGGAGCTGAACGCCGATATGGGGAGATCTCCCCCAATCATCCAGTTTTGCTATCTGTGAGTTTCATTAACAAAATTACCCCGGCAACCTTATGTTTGATATAAAAGCCCTGTATGTCTACTACTAATTCCCAGATAAATGTTGCAAAGAACTACAACTATACAAAAAAATTAAAATCCCTAGCCTCCATTTCAGATTTTACGTTTTAACCAACTGGCCAGATTCTGAAATGGGCTCTTTTATGTATTTTCTTCAGACTCTTGCATAAGAGTCTGGACAGAATTAAGTGGTTTTTATGGTTTCTCTCGAATGAACCCTAATGATTCTAACTTTTATTGCCATGATGATTAACTCGGATCACGTAGAATCCCGAGAATCCCCATGACTCCTGCCACATTCCACATTTTTTGCGGCAGTCCAATGAGTGAATCTGGTTATTGAGCAAATGCCCCGGTTGTGTGAACCCAGTCTTCTGAATGGGCACTTTTGTTTTCTTTTGCCAGAAATCATTTGAAATCGTGGAGACGTGACTGCAAGACCACTGCAACTGGTCAGAGAAAGGAAAAGCCAGTTGCCAAGCACACAACATGCAATTTTGTGACCAAAGGGTGTATTTCTTGTCTGAGTGGGGCACACCATTTTATGATGACTATGAGTTCTACTGGCCTGTAGTAATTTCAAGCAGTTGTTAAGTGGCCAGTTGTAAGTTATAGACTATCTGTACACCAAATAGAGCAGGAGTGGCAAACTTGATTTCATTGAGGGCCGCATCAGGATTGTGTTTGAACTGGGGGGGGGGCGTACTGGCTGGGGTGGGCGTGGCCAGTGGGCGTGGCCAGCTCCATGTCACTTATGTTGGGGTCACCTGTGGTGGCCAAGTGCTAAGGCAGGACTTCCCTGAGACCGACCCTCACTCTCATAATCTTCCTTCCTTTTTTCCTTCCCTCTTCATTCTTCCTTCCTTCCCCTCTTTCCTTCTTTTTCCTTTCTTGCTCTCTTTCCATCTTCCCTTTTTCTTTGTCTTTCCTCTTTCCCTTTCTCCTTTCCTGTCCCATCTTGCATGCTCAAATGCAAAAGGGGAAACATTTCTCCTGTTGTTTTTATTTTGTTTTGCTAGCCCTCTGCCAGCGAAAAGGGAGCCCGGGAAATGGGGGGGGCACATGCAACCCCCCCCCCCCCCCAGGCCCTGTTTTCGGCTGCAACGGCCTCCTGCAGCCCTCTGCCAGCGAAAATGAGCTCCGCTTTCGCTGCCAGAGGCACTGTGGGCCGGTCCCTTACTGATTCCAGGGCGGCCCCGCAGGCCAGATCTAAGCACCCCGTCGGCCAGAGTTTCACACCCCTGAAATAGAGACTCATTTCCTTATAGGAATTGTGGTGCTTCAGGGTTTCTTACCTTGTTTTGACAGTTCTTCAAAGCCACTTTCGCAAGCAGTGCAAGCCCATTCAACGGTCAGGCATCTGAGTGAGGATACTTGTAATCGGACCACAAACGCAGAAATGCAGAAAATCAAACCCAAAACTTAAGTTTGATCTAAGGACAGGCAACCCGTAGACCCCCATGCGCAACCCTGAGCATCTCCACAACCGAGGGGCATATTTTTTTTTTTAGCCATTTCCCCAAAAAACAAAGGTCAAAAATAGATCAGTGGGTTAAGTTTTATTCCTTTACACGTTCCTCTTTAAAAAAGGTATAAAGCCAGCACTTCAGATAATATGGAAAGTGAGCATTAAAACCCCTCAAAAAGATGGACCTTTTACAGGGCTGTTGCTTTACAGAAACAGGGACGCGGTAGTTCAGTGGCGAAGACTCTGAGCTTGTTGATCGAAAGGTCGGCAGTTCAGCGGTTCGAATCCCTAGTGCCGCGTTAATGGGGTGAGCTCCTGTTACTTGTCCCAGCTTCTGCCAACCTAGCAGTTCGAAAGCACTTAAAAAATGCAAGTAGAAAAATAGGGACCACCTTTGGTGGGAAGGAAACAGTGTTCCGTGTGCCTTTGGCGTTGAGTCATGCTGGCCACATGACCACGGAGACGTCTTCATACAGCGCTGACTCTTCGGCTTTGAAACGGAGATGAGCACCACCCCCTAGAGTCGGGAACGACTAGCACATACGTGCAAGGGCAACCTTTACCTTTACCTGCTTTACAGAACTCTTCATGGTGTTAAAAAATCAGATTGCAGAATGGCTTCATCTCCAAAGGAGGATGTGTGTAAGGTTTAACCTACTACAGTTAGGTTTTCTTCTCCTTGTAGGAACACCAGTTTCACACATTTTCTTCCCCAGAAGCAGCCTGAGCAGTGATTTATTTATATCCTGCCCTTTTTAATATAAAAAACTCAAGGCGGTGAACACACACTTCTTCCTATTTTCCACCTCCAATAACAACCCTGTGCAGCGAATTGGGCTGAGAGTGTGACTGGCCCAAAGTCGCCCAACCAGCTTTCATGCCTAAGGCAGGACTAGAACTCATTCGACTGGTGATTGGCCCAAAATCAGCCGGCTTTCATGCCTAAGGAGGGGCTAGAACTCGCAGCCCACTGGTGATTGGCCCAAAGTCATCAAGGCCGCTTTCATGTCTAAGGCGGGACTAGAACTAACGGTCAACTAGTGATTGGCCCAAAGTCAACTGGCTTTCATGCCTAAGGCGGGATTAGAATTCACAAGTCAACTGGCGATTGGCTCAAAGACATCCAGCCGGTTTTCACGCCTTAAGGCGGGACTAGAACTCACATTAACCTGGCTTCTAACTTGGTGCCTTAATCATTAAATTAAATGGGTGAAAATTATTGCACTGAGAGATCTTCAGTGTGCTTGTCCATCTCAAAGTGAAATTAAATACCTGCCCTTACTTTTTTGGCAAGGTTTAACAAATGGTCAGTAAGAGCCTTGGTAGTACAGTGGTCTAAGGCACCCTGTTATTAAGCTGGTTATTAAGACCAGATGCCTGCAATTACTGCAAGTTCGAATCTCGCCAAGGCTCAAGGTTGACTCAGCCTTCCATCCTTTCTAAGGTAGGTAAATTGAGGACCCAGTTGTGGGGGCAATAAGCTGACTTTGTATAAATATACAAAAGTATGAAGGCTATTGCTCAACGCATTGTAAGCCGCCCTGAGTCTCCGGAGAAGGGCGGCATATAAATCAAATAAAAAAAAAACCTGCATTATTCAGGCAAATAGACAACAGATTCAAATGCATTCTGTGGCCTCATTTTAATGTCCAGTTCTAGTAAAACATCTGTACAAAGGATGAAACAATTTGGAACTGCACAATAGTCGCCACTGTTAAGATTTCCGTTTGTTAAGCAACAGTCTCCACTACATGTCACAATACATTCCATAACTTGCTACCCTGCTTTCAGAATATCCTTAAATAATAGATTTAAAAAATCATATGCATCTAAATTAAACTGAATTCAAATTGAATTCAAATGAATTGTACTGCCTACATAGTCTTACTATCTCATTCATGTTTATATTAAGGGTTCAAGTTACTATTTTTTTTATAGCCCTGTAGTCCCTTAATTCAAGGTGACGTCCTGGCGACTGGATGTAGTTGAGAATTTGCTGGCCAGATGCCCTTCCCAATGCCTATGTGGAGTTCACAGGAGATTTTTTTTTTCCCTTGCGTCCTAAGAAAGAAAACATCTGCCGCTACTTAGGATTGAACGCTCAACCTTCCAAGAGGGAGGCGAGCATCTTCACCACTAGGCCACCACACCACCCTTCTATTTCAAGAGACTCCCATTTCAAGGTTTAAGAATGAATGGATGGTTTTTATAGGTCACCCAAATTTACGATGGTTTTTAAATCGCTGACCTTGATAATCTGCCAAAAAAAAAAAAAAAAAAAGCTGCTGAAAATATTCCCTGGGAAATTCAAAAGGACTATTTTTGCTGAATTATTTGTATGCCAAACCTCAGCAAAAAAGTAAATGCAGAATAGCAGCCTAACCACATGCCATCTTTTTAAAGACTTTGTAAAGGCAAGTCTTTCTTTAAGCAGCAACGAAAACTTCTATGTTCAAAAAACGTATTCGCTTGAAAAAATCGGGAGTGGGGGGGAAAGCATGTTTGCAGCATTTTTATCCTTAACCGATGGCTTTATTTTATTTTTAATTTTGCGTTTAGATTTTAATTGCATTGTTTTGCAAAAACACATTTCTGGCGCGTTTAATCGCGTGCTTCGTATATATTGCAAAAAACAGTTTCTTCAGACCTGAGCTACAGACATCCTGTATTGGGGGAGGGGGGGGGGTTACAAAAAAGGATTGCCAGAATCGCTTCTGGCATTCACCCGCCAAGATTGGTCAGAATCAAATATTTTAATCCCTCCTTCCTCCCATCTGGGGGAGATTTGAAGGAACAAATTCTATTTTACCAATTCTGTTTTAGCCCTTAGAATTCCAGAAGTCCTCTTTAAAAAAAAACAATAACAATTAGTCAATTAGTGTTTGACTTAAGGCTCACACAGGCCCATTTGTGAAACATAACTCAGTTCATCTACAGCAGAGGGGCCAAACTCATCCGTGGGCCGGATCCGGCCTGTGGGATACTTAAATCTGGCCCACGGGGCCGGCCTGAAAATAGCAAAGGACTGTGGCCTGCAGTGCCTCTGGAAGCCTGGACGGCCTGCTGGTCAAAAACGGGGCATGGGAGAGGGGCTGCACGCAGCCCCCCCATGCAGCCCATTTTCAGCCTGGACGGCCTCCTGCTGCACTCTGTCGGCCAAAAAGGGGTGTGCGGGAGCCGCATGTGGAAAACGAGGCACACGGGGCTCCCCTGCACCCCGTTTTGGCCGGCAGGGTGCAGCAGGAGATATCTGGCCCGTCTCCCCACAGCCGGCCCGTGGTGGAGAACTACAATGCTGATCCAGCCCTCGAAGAAATCCAGTTTGACACCCTTGATCTACAGCAAGGTTGTCCAACCTTGGCAACTTTTAAGACCTGTGGACTTCAACTCCCAGAATTCTCCAGCCAGCCATTATGGCTGGCTGGGGAATTCTGGGAGTTGAAGTCCACAGGTCTTAAAAGTTGCCAAGGTTGGACACACCCCTGTTCTACAGAAAACAATGCCTGTATCCTCAGAGTGGGAGACCTCATAGCTCCTATTGTGACTTCTGCATAGTTGACACCCCTAGAAAAGTCCCAATTCCTATTTTCTATCGCGCTTCGAGTCGATCAATAGCCAGTTTTTTGTTTTTTTTTTCGTTGACAAAAAAGCTGTCCTATCTCAAACTCGAGAGTCCGGTAATTTTGTTTCTTTCTAACGGGAGACCCGCGAAGGAGAAATTCCCCGATCTGCTATGAGGGAGGCGGTGGGAGAAACTCTTCAAGGTGCAGTCAACGCAAAAGCTTCAAAACAACACGACTGATTGTCGACCACCGACGACCTTTCCACATTCATTTTTTTGTCTCCGCAGAAGCAGAAAAAACAACAACAAAAAAACGTTCTTCCGGAAATAGCGTTTTCCGAGATCGACCGGAAGCAAGCTCGTTTCAAGGGAAAGGGGTGGGGCTAATAGAAAGCACGGTCACACTTTTTGCGTCCTAGGAAGGGCTGGCAGAATATTGCTGTATTAAGTGCTTGTGGCAAAGATTGCACACCCGTTCCGGCTTGATGCTCGAGGGGAGAGGTAGTTCACTTGCTGAGCAGTCTTCACAGAAGACGCCTCCGCAGTTCTTGCAGATGTTCTGAAAGGGGGGGGGGAGAAACAGCAATGAAACACGTGAGAATTCCAGTTCGCTCAACGGCAGGTAGTCCTCGACTTATAAACCATTCATTTAACGACCATTCAAACTTAACAATTGGCACTGGAAAAAGGGACTTCCCATACACGACCATTGCAGCATTCCCCCCCCCCCCATGATCGATTGCTTAGCAACCAGCATATATGTCAAGCCTGAATATTATTTGGATGTGGGATTGTTTGTATCCAGGGGTGCTCCAATGTTAATTCAGTTTGACACAGTTTGGAGCTGGAGGAGGATGGAGCCTTCAGTCAAAACAGCATACTGTACTTTTCGGTGTATATAAAACACACTTTTTCCCCCCCAAAAAAGAGGGTGGAAATGTTGCTGCATCTTATACACCGAATACATCCATTTTTGGTCTCCCAAAACCCTGCCCGCGTGTCCCGTTTTTGCCAAAAACAGGCCTGTTTTCCTCAAAAACCCTGCACCCTGGTGGCGCAGCAGACTAAAGCACTAAAGCACTGTTATTAACATCAGCTGCCTGCAATTACTGTAAGTTCAAATCTCACCAGGCTCAAGGTTGACTCAGTCTTCCATCCTTTCTAAGGTAGGTAAAATGAGGATCTGGATTGTGGGGGCAATAAGCTGACTTTGAATAAATATACAAAAGTATGAAGGCTATTGCTTAACGCATTGTATGCCGCCCTGAGTCTCCGGAGAAGGGCGGCATATATATATTTTAAAAAAAGGGATGCACAGAGGGCTTGGGAGGCCTGCAGAGTGCTCCTGGGGGCTGGGGAGGGCAAAAATGCAATGCATGGGGGGTTGGGAGGCCAAAAACGGGCCCATTTTTCACAAAAACAGGGTTTGCGCAGAGGGTTTGGGAGGCCTGCACAGTGCTCCCGCGGGCTGGGGAGGGCAAAAACCGGACGCGCTGAGGACAAAAACTATTTTTTCCCTTGTTTTCCTCTTCAAAATCTTGGTGCGTTTTATACTCCGGTGCGTCTTATAGTCTGAAAAATATGGTAACTAGCTGATGAGTCAGGCACATTCCAACGGCTGACTGACCGAAGGAGGAGGAGAGAAGTCGCCAAGCAACCAGCTCTCATCTTGGTTGGACAATGTGACAGATTGTTTTGGAAACTTGAGAAACTGAAATTATATTGGGGTGAAAAGCCCGGGAACTTCAGTACTGGCTTTTCACCAGGAGTGCCAAGATGGTGTATCTAAATAAATTTGTTCTTTGAGGAAAAGCAATGCCTCGGAGTTCGATTTGTAATGGGTGCATTACTTGGTGCCTGACAATATATTTACTCTGGTTAAGACTTCAGACTTAGAATGACTTCATTGTCACTTGAAATGTAGACTCATCGGCATACGTTCAAATGACATTTCGTTGCATACGGCTCTCGTTTCGTTGCAGTGTCCCAGGGACATATGATTGCTATTCGTGACTGTCCTGGCCGGCTTACAACAGACAAAGTCAATGGGGGAAGCCGGATTCATTTAATGACCACACGATTCACTTAAGCACTGCAGTATTTTGCTTAACAGCTGCGGCAGAAAAGTCTGTACAATGGGGCAAAACTCACTTTCATAACTGCCTTGCTTATCAACAGAAATATTAAGCTCCATTGTGGTCATTAAGTTGAGGACTGCCTTTAGGGCAGAGTTGGAATTCTTTAATGGATGGAGCCCGGTTCCGTAGGGAGCCCGACCTCGTGCCAGGTAGGGCTTTAAAAAGTTACCCAGGTGAAGAGAAGTCTTTATTGGCCAAGTGTGATTGGACACACAAGGAATTTGTCTTGGGTGCATAAGCTCTCAGTGTACATTAAAAAAAAAAGCATTCATCAAGAATCATAAGATACAACACTTAGTGATAGTCTTAGAATACTAAATAAGCAATCAAATCATACTAGAAAACTGAATAAACTATAAAGATACAAGCAACGTTATAGTCATAAGTGGGAGGAGATAGGTAATAGGAAGGATGAGAAGAATAATAGTAACCCAGTCTTAGTAAATAGTTTGACAGTGTTGAGGGAATTAGTTGTTTAGCAGAGTGATGGCATGGGGGGAAAAAACTCTCCTTGTGTCTAGTTGTTCTGGTGTGCAGTGCCCTATAGCGTCATTTTGAGGATGGGAGTTGAAACAGTTTATGCCCAGGATGTGAGGGATCTGAAAATATTTTCACAGCCCCCTTTTTGACTAGTTGTTGTGGTCAGTCAGCGGCCTGTGCAGATTGTAGCTGATTCTGACAACGAGGAGGCTGGTGTGGTGCTGCGCCAGCAGCCTGTGCAGCTGGCACTTGAGTCAGATAATGAGGAGGCTGGAGAAGTTGTGGTGCCAGAGGCAGGGACTCAGCCAGGGCCTTCAGAACCTCCAGAAGCTTCTTTAAGTGAAGAGGACGAAGAGCCTCTTCTTGATGCTTGGGCGCGCAGAGCTGCCAAAAGGCAGGAGTGGCTCCTCAGGAAGAGGTCTCCTCGAGGGTAAGGCTTGGGGCTAATTAGCCACTCCCTTAGCCTATTTAAGGAGGAATGCCGACTGAAGCAAGTTGTAGGGAACAACTTTAGTTCACTCTCCTTCGCGTCTGGATTCTCTGCAAATTGCTTCTGGGCTTTCTGCCAACCATAGTAAGATTGTGATTACTTTATCTTTGGTTTCTTGTAGGCTGTTAAGAAAGTTTATTAACAGCCTTTGTTTGAGAAAGACTGAGTTATTTTAGTAAACTAAGTTTTGTACAGACTTTGTGTGTGCTGCGTTCTTTGGGGTCCGTAGCTGGGGCAGAACACTCGTGCAGTATACAGGCCCTCAATGGAAGGCATTGAAGTCTGGGTGGTTGCAGAGCCAAACCAGACAGTTATGGAGGTGCAGATGCTGAATTACCTTTCTTTTGCTCCGAGTACTTTCTTCTTGACAGAGTTGGCAGGGTTTGGACTTGTCAGGACGTTGGTCCTAAAAACATGGAAAATGCATCTCGTTTATGCCTATTTGGGGTCAGCGCTTCCATTATTCTCATGAATGAGCCACTTGGCCTTAGCGAAAAAGCCTTTCCGTTCAAACGGGCAACATTCCCCCTTTCAGTTCTGCGCTGGACACATCCCAAAAAGACTCGTAATAACTGCAGTCAAAGGTCTTCAACATAAGCCAAATTTTAAAACTCAAAAAAACCTGCCAAAAATACAGGTAGTCCTCGATATACAACAACTTGTTTGATGACCATTTGAAGTGACAACGGCCCTTTAAAAAGAGACTTATGACCGTTTTTCACAGTTACGTCCGTTGCCACATCCCCATGGACACATGATCAAAATTTTAGACGCTTGGCAACTGGCTCATATTTATGACGGTTGCAAGTGTCCCGCGGCCATGGGATCACCTTTTGTGACCTCCCGACAAGCAAAGTCAATGGGGAAGCCAGATTCACTTAACAACTGTGTCACTAACTGAACACCTGCAGTGATTCGCTTAACGGTAGTGAGAAAAGTCATAAAATGGAGCAAAAACTCACTGAACAACTGTCTTGCTTAGCAATGGAAATTTTGGCCTCAACTGTGGTTGTAAGTTGAGGACTACCTGCATTCTGTCAACATCACTCATCCCAGAATGCAAACACAACCCAGCTTTGGAATGGAATGGAATAGAAATAATAGAAATATTAATAGAAATAATAGAAATATTAATAGAAATAATAGAAATAGAAAATAATAGAATAGAATAGAATAGAATAGAATAGAATAGAATAGAATAGAATAGAATAGAATAGAATAGAATAGAAAAGAAAAAATATGGAATCGAGTGGAATGGAATGGAATGAAAGGAATAGAAATAGAATAGAAAATATGGAATGGAATAGAATGGAATAGAAATAGAAATAAAATAGAATAGAATAGAATAGAATAGAATAGAATAGAATAGAATAGAATTGGGTAGGGTAGGGTAGGGTAGGGTAGGGTAGGGTAGGGTAGGACAGAACAGAACAGAACAGAACAGAACAGAACAGAACAGAACAGAATTCTTTATTGGCCAAGCGTGAGTGGACACACAAGGAATTTTCCATTTCTTAACAGTCATCTGGTCGTTAGTACTCTCTCCGAGAGCTTTCTGCTACTCATATTTTCTCTCTCTCTAGTATCAGAGGTTCAGAGTTGCTAATTAAGCACCCATCTTCACGTTCTGAATTCATATGCAATGCCACGTGAAAAGCAACTGGATACGTTTAATACCAACAGAATAAGGATTTGGGGAAACGAGCACCCGAAAAGCATCCAATAGCTTTTCCCGATGAATTCTTATGAGCCCCCAAATCAGAACTCTACACCCTAAGACACAGTTTAGATAACGCATTTCAGGCGTACAAACAGGCTAGGAATTAAATCTTGAATAATGGGACCGTACACAGTGAACTCTCGGAAAAAACACCTTCACACCTGTCAGTGAAGATTCTCAGTCATCCAGATCGGGGGTCTCCAAGCTTGACAACTTTTAAGACTTGTGGACTTCAACTTCCAGAATTCCTCAGCCAGCAAAGCTTTGCTGGCTGAGGAATTCTGGGAGTTGAAGTCCACAAGTCTTAAAAGTTGCCAAGGTTGGAGACCCCCTGATCCAGGTCATAGTTATCTCAAAAGTGCTTTTTTTCCCCACCTTCAAAAGACAACTGGACTGGGTCAGTATCTCCCCGAAGAAGAAGAACCCGGCCATCAACATCCTCAAGGAGAAAACAATTTCACTTCTCATCCAAGAAGCTTCATCGGTTCTGATGGCCGGGGTGGTGGTGGAAGGATAGTTACTGACAGTTGAGATTGGATGATTGTGGGGGGGATGGAAGGATAGATTCTGATAGGATAGTGATCTGATCTAAGCTTCCTGAGCAGTGGTGAAATGTAAAATTTGTTACTACCGGTTCTGTGGGCGTGGCTTGGTGGGGAGGGGGGGTTAACATGACTGAGTGGGCGTGGCCAACTTTTTTTTTTCCCTTTACTTTTAAAAATCATTTTTTCTGCAACCTCTTCGGCTGAAGAGGTTGTAAAAAAAAACGCTTTTAAAAGCCTCTGACGATCCCAGCTGACTTGCCTGATAGGCAGAAGCTTTTTTTTTTAAAAGCCTCTGACGATCCCAGCTGACTTGCCTGATCGGCAGAGGCTTTTTTTTTTCCCTTTTAAAAACATTTTTTTCTATAACCTCTTCGGCCGAAGAGGTTGTAGAAAAAATGCTTTTAAAAGCCTCTGATGATCCCAGCTGAGCCGCACGATCATCAGAGGCTTTTTTTTTTTTTTTTACTTTTAAAAGCATTTTTTCGGCCAAAGAGGTTGTAGAAAAAAATGCTTTTAAAAATAAATAAAAAAAGCCTCTGATGATTGCGCGGCTTAGGTGGGGAATGGGGGGGGGGGTTTCAGGGATTTTTACTACCGGTTCTCCGAACCACCCGCCTTCATCGCTACCGGATCGAGCGATCTGGTCCGAACCGGGAGCATTTCACCCCTGTTCCTGAGTCAGTAAAACACACAAGTAGTCCCCAAAAACCTCTTTGAATTTCAACGGCTGTGAATTCTGTTCATTCACAGATGAGTCCCAAATAGTTGTAAAGAGTCCTTCGGGATAAGGCTGATAATCACCCACCTTTATCTCCAAAGACCCAATTGGCAAAGCCACACGGAGTCCAGAATCAAACAGAGCTTCAGGCTTTAAACTGCACAGAATTAACAACGTTGCTTCCTGCAAAGGGCCCATGTACCTTTGCTCCGCTTTTAAGTCTTATGGGAGGGGCCAATCATCTCCAAGCCCTACTCCTGAGTCGTCCCTTTTGTTTTAACCGTTCTTGCCTTCTGGCAGCTCTGCGCATGCGCGCACTGGGAACAAGCTCCCCCTGTTCCTTTGCCTCGCTGAGGTCCGACTCTGGAGGCTCCGGAGGCAACACGTACTTCCCAGATGGCCCTTTCTCTGCCTCCGACGCAGAGTCCTCGTCCAAGCCTTCCCAAGACTCCAGGACTGGCCCATGTTCCTCCCCAACCTCCTCACTGTCCGACTCTGCTGTCAGCTCCGCAAGCCGCAGGCGGACCACAACAGATAGTGGGGGAAGATGGAAGGATTGTATTTCTTTGCAGTGATCTGATCGTTAGTACTCTCCCTGAGAGTTCTTGAAGTCACTTGGGAGTTAATCAGGCTCAGCTGAATCAGAGTGCAATGAGGGCACACATGAACCCCCCAAATGGCCTCAAGAGCTCTCAGAGAGAGTGTTAACAACCAGATGACTGCAAAGAAATACAATCCTTCCATTCCCTCCCGCCACCCAGTCTCAGATCCAGGTACTGTCAATAATTATCCTTACATCCCCCCCTCTCCATCAGAACTGATGAAGCTGCTTGGATGAGAAGCGGAACGTCTTCTTCTTCTTCCTCAAGGAAAAAAAAAAAAACTCACTCCAGTTGCCTTTTGGAGAGAGAAAAAAGCGCCTTTGAGACATCATCGCCACATTTACAGCGGCTGAAATTTCAAAGTTCAAACCAGTCTAACTGGTGGGTGTGTGCGTGTGAAAATATCCAGCTACTTTCCCAGAATTCATAAAACCAGTTACTTACCTGCTCGTCTTGCAGGTCAGGAAACACGCTGCAATATAAGATATTGATTTACTTCATCTCCATCTTGCAAAAAAACCAGGTGTTAAGTATGTGCTGATTTCTGGAATCATTATACGGGTGGTCCTTGACTTATGAACGGCTGTTTAGCAACTCTTTGAAGTTATGACAGACTTCCCATGACTTCTTATAATCCAGATTCAACGATTTGACAGCCCTTCCCCCCCCACCCCAATCATAGAACTGCATTTTGGGGTGGCGCTCAGGAACCACCCTCATTTATGATCATTTGCAACGCTCCAGTCATGTGACCGACATTTTACGAGGTTTTTTTTTGCTGGAAAGCAGTATTTACTGATAAGAAACGGCTATTGCAAACAATGACCGCAGTGTTAGCTTACCGACCTACACAAAAAAGATCTTAAAAATTGGTCATGGGCAAGACAACCAGCATAACTTATGATCACAATTCTGGCCTCAATTACAGTCATTAATTTAATATCTAGAATTAAAAAGGCCTAGCTAAAGAGGAGCAGGCCATCCAGGTCTTCTTAGTGGAACCTATTTAAATTGGAACGATACACTAAGAATGCTCTGTAGCAAACGTGTGATAAGGTTTCATATATATATATGTGTGTGTGTGTGTGTATATATGTGTGTGTTGTGTGTATGTGTATATATACACACACACACACACACCCATGTTTCCCTGAATTTAAGACATCCCCTGATAATAAGCCCAATCTGGCTTTTGAGTGCATGAACTAAGCCCCCCCCCCCCCCCCCCGGAAATAAGCCCTCCCCAAAAATATTTAAATGCATGTCCAGCCGGTCCCCGCCATTTCCTCTGGTTAGGGTTCGGGAGACAGAGCTGGAAATCAGGTAACACAGCAAGAGGAGCCCCATGTTGCTCCACGTGCCCCAAAATAATAAGACCTCCCTGAAAATAAGGCCAAGCGCTTATTTCAGGGTTCAAAAAATATAAGACAGGGTCTTTTTTTCAGGGAAATACAGGGTATATATCTATATCTATATCTATATCTATATCTATATCTATATCTATATCTATATCTATATCTAATTTATATCTATATCTATCTATATCTATATCTTATTTATATATCTATAACTATATCTATATATATATCTATATATCTATATCTAATCTATATATCTATATATCTATATCTATATATCTATATATATATCTGTATCTATAATCTATATCTATATATCTATATCTATATATCTATATCTATATATCTAAATCTAATCTATATATCTATACTGCTCAAAAAAATAAAGGGAACAGAAGCAGAAGACATCTGAGACCTGAATGAATGAAATAGCTTTATTAAATACTTTGTTCTTTACATACAGTAGTTTATACACTGCTCAAAGACCTAAAGGGAACACAAAACTACTGTATGTAACGAACAAAGTATTTAATAAGGCTATTTCATTCATTCAGATCTCGGATGTCTTCTGCTTGTCTTCCCTTTATTTTTTTGAGAAGTGTATACCTATATCCATATCTATATCTATATATCTATATCTAATCTATATATTTATATCTATATCTATCTATCTATCTCTATATCTCTATATATCTATATCTCTATATCTATATATCTATATCTATATATCTAAATAAATCCATCCACACACACACAGCCCCAGGAATCACAAAAAGGCTTCCAAAATGACTTATGACTTATAAGCACCATCGTTATATTTGTTTGCTTGTTTAAAAAAAGCCAAAGTCTGTGATTTGGGATTTAATCCATACCTGCTTGAAAGCACTGTATTCTCTTTCGCTGATGTTCTCGATTGGGAATCTCCTTCTAGGTGCCTGTCGCTTGAATCCTATCGAAGCAAGGAATATATTGAAGAACCAAAGCAGAATAACCTAAATCATTCTTTATTTTGAATATGCTACCTTAAAAACAAGGGGTGGAAACCTTTCATTATGGAATTACTTTTCCATAATAGCAATAGCAATAGTGCTTAGACTTAAGACTCCGTAGTGCGTACAATTTACAAGATCAGCATATTGCCTCCAACAATCTGGGTCCTCATTTTATGGACCTCAGAAGGATGGAAGGCTGAGTCAGCCTTGAGCCAGTCAGGATCGAACTCCTGGCAGTGGGCAGAATTAACCTGCAGTACCACATTCTAACCACTGCACCACCATGGCTCCTTAGCAGTTTCCCTATCGAGAATAATGGAGCCCCCTACCACTACCAAGTCAGAGATCAGTTAAAAGATCAGAATGAGAAGTGGAGGATCGGAATTGCCTGCCTACGCATTACCTTCCGTGATACAGGTGTATTCTGACACAGGTAGTTTTGCAGGTAGTTCTCGCTTAACCATGGTAATTGGATCCAGAATTTCTGTTGCTAAGTGTAATGCATAACATCACAAGAGCCCATTGCTGAATGATGGCAATCTGGGCAGTCCCCATTGCTGTTGTTAAGCAAGAATCATGAGCGATTAATTGAGGGATCACCTTGATACTTCCTACTGGCTTCCAACAAATCACTGGGGAAGCCAGCAGGAAGTTGCAAGGCCCAGGCAATTTGTCAAGCAGGCCAGTGGCTTGTTGTGGTCCGCCAGCAGCCTACGGAGCTGGCAGCGGAGTCAGACAGTGAGGAGGTTGGGGAGGAACATGGGCCAATCCTGGAGAAATGGGGCCAGGACCATCTGGGAGTGATGCGCGGACTCAGGAGCCCCCAATGTCAGATAGCAGAGAGACGGACTAGTGCACACTGGGGGAGTGTGGGGGATGGCACATGCATGCACAGGGGTCAGGTCATGCACAGGGGTTGGGTCATGCACGCATGCGCAGGGGTCGCACACGCATTGCATTATGGGTGCAGACACGCACACTTTCGACACGTAACCAAAAAAAGGTTAGCCATCACTGTGCTACTCTGTACTCAGGCTTCTTAGGATAAAAAGCCGTAGATGTGTGAATGACGTATGGCAGGAGAGTCAAACTCGATTTCATTGAGGGCTGCATCAGGGTTGTGTTTGACCTCAGGGGGCCGGGGGTGGGGGGCATGGCCAGGGTGGGTGTGGCCAGCTTGATGTCACTCATGGAGGCATCTGTGGTAACCTGGGCAGGGCTGGGGGGCCAGATCCTCTGTGGGCCAGATCCGGCCTGCGGGCCTTGAGTTTGACACCCCTGACATACGGGATCCTCTTGCAATCTTCCTCATTGACTTCGCTTGGGAAAAGCCAACCATCTCTGTTTGAAGTGTGCCATGTGTGTTACTTGTAAACAAGGGGCAAGGCTTCAATCAACAGTATATTTTATTTATTTATATGTTCAATTTATATGCCCACCATTAAATTTGTATGTGTCAAGCGCCGGGGAAACCAGGAGATTCGGGCAGTTCAAATGAGCGTAAAGATTTATTGCAAGCTTAAACTCTCTACAAGAATCTGGCCAACTAACAGTCAAGGGAAATAAGCGGGAGATAAGAAAGAAGTTCAAGGTGGGATGGACTTGGATCTCTTCCGGGCGTACAGGGACTTGTGACTTATGACACATTCGATTCCTCCCTTGGGCTCAACCTGATCACCTCCTACAGTATGGCTGTCATTTTACTTTTTTGACACTCTATCCCAGGGGTCTCCAACCTTGGCAACTTGAAGACTTGTGGACTTCAATTCCCAGAATTCCTCAGCCAGCTTTGCTGGCTGAGGAATTCTGGGAATTGAAGTCCACAAGTCTTCAAGTTGCCAAGGTTGGAGACCCCTGCTCATCTCCCACAGATTTCTGTAATAGGATATTTGCATATTGACTGACAGCAGCCAGAATCCTAGCCACAATTATTAAACACTATGCAAGGCACCCAGTTTAAAAAAGCAGCAACATTAAGCCAGTGAAATATAGGGCGACAAACAAGAATTATTACTATCTTTGATCCTGTCTTCTGAATGCCTTTGTTAAGGCTGAACAAGCTTTTGCTATCTGGGACTCCGTGAGGCAAATGCAGCCACTGTTCCCGTTCTCGTCTCAATTCAACTTCAAGCTGGCCTCTGAAGTAACAAAAGGAGGAGAAAATATGTTCAATATAAAATGCACACACAGGCACACCCAAAAGTAAACTGGTTCCCACCATTTCCTTTTAGAACTACCATATTTTTTGGAGTATAAGACACTCCGGACTATAAGACACACCTACTGTCAGCACTTCAAACTACGTTCGTTCCAGTGCTGACATAAGGAGTAGAAGAGGGGGCAGCTGGCAAGAGGACGCTTGACTTTTCACCTACTTATTTTCCCTGAAGATAATATCCCCTAGGAGATGGGTTGGGAGGGGGGACATTCCTGGGAGCTGAAGTAGTAGATATGGGGAGAGTGATTTGGAAGATGGTCAATGAGACGCAGAGAATTGGGGAACGGAAAGGGAAGGTTTGGGGTCAGGAAGTCAGTGTTGGCTTCGACATAATCGGGGGCAGATTGTCATGCTTAATAAATGAAAGATTTCATCAAAGATCATTTGTTTGGAAAATGCAATTTATTTGAGACGATATCGAAACCTGACACCTACCTTTTTTGAGGAGGAAAAGAAAAAAAAGAAATCTGCCTCTGCCTCCCAGCAATTTTGCCTCCTTGCAACAAACAGCAAACAGCCTGCTTTACTTTCATTTTCGTTTTCAGCATAGCTTGATTAGCACAAGAAAAAAAAATCTGCTCCCAGCAATTTACCTCCTTGCAGCAAGCAGCAGAGGCCCGCGCAGCAATAGGCCATGGCAATCCCTGCAGCCTGAAACAGCTGAGAGTCGGGAGGCTGATCCAAGGGACAATCAACTTGTGCTAATTAGGCTCTGCTGAAGCTGAAATGAGCTGTTTCTTCTTGCTGCTTGCTGCAAGGAGGTAAATTGCTGGGAGGCAGAGGCCATAGGGTGTGGGCCAGTGGGTGGGCGGGGCTACATTTTTAGGGTGGGGGGAAAGGTACTCCGAAAAATAGGGTATCTTTTTTTTTTTAATAAATGACAATTTTAATTTGAACAATAGAAGAGTAATTTGGAACAATGCCAGGACACAACCACTAAGTTTTAAAATCGATATTGTTGTCCATTTGACTTTATATCATCTCTCTGCTATTTGTTAATGACCGTATGGCTTTTTTCAGGCTTTCAGTCAAGCTAAAAGAGATATGATGAATGATGCTTTAAGGCAGGGTTTTCCAAACTGAGCAGCTTTAAGACTTGTGGATTTCAACTCCCAGGATTTTCACCAGGCTTCTGCCTGTTTTGGGGAGCAGTTTTAAAACCTAAGGACTCCAACCTCCAAAATACAAAACCCCCAAGGGAGTTCTGGAAAGCCATGTAGGGTTTATGGATTAAGCATGATTCAGCACTGCGCTATTCCACTCCCATCTACCACAAAATACACTGATTGCCTTAGATAGAAATCCAACATACAATCTGCTTACTTGAGAATTAATCCCACTGATTTCATTGAAGCCCAATGCTGGTAGACTGATAAAGGACTGTAATTATAAAATTCTGCCATTTCGTATTTAACTGTGGATTTATTTTGCAACGTCCCCTGCAGCGTGCCACTGTAGTAAATTTCATTCAACGGTATGTATCCGTTCGCTTATTTCAGTTTAATAATATTTGTTTTTAATTTGCATGGTAAACCACCCAGCGGCAGATTGTGATATTCAATTTATATAGGCCTTGAAACAAATAAAAAATAAATAAAATTGAAGTACGCAGGATCACTTTTTTTCCCCTTTAACCCCTTGCATCGGAGTGGAATTGGGGCAACCGAATGGAGCTCGAGGATTTACTGGCTGGATGCCCTTCCTGACACCTACACAGAGTTCACAGCAGACAATAACTAACTGAGCCCAAAGACAGAAATATCTGTCGCTACACGGGGTTGAACTCACAGCCTCCTGATTATGAGGCGAGAGCTCCACCTTTAGGCCACCATGCCGCTCTATGCAGGATCACTATTAATGAGAAGCAAATGCACCGCAAAAGTATGATCTGTATGCTTAATTTATTTCCATTTCATTTTTATTCTGATGAGTCCTCCAACATTCCCCATCTTTGTCTGACCATCTCAAACAGTGGCATCTAGTGGGATCCTCAGTCGTCTATGAGCTTGGTTGTTTGCTTATAGACGTTTCATCACCAACATAGGTAACATCAACAGTGCTAGGAGTGGGGTTTGTTGTTCCCTATTTATATACAATAGCTTGCCTTGCCAGTGTTGATTAGTATATGGTTTCTCCTTGGTACTTCCTGGATTTGAGTCAAGCTCAAGGAGCACCTAGTGCAGGGGTCGGCAACCTTAAACACTCAAAGAGTCACAAAGGTCCTAACCGGAAACCCCCGTTCAATTCTGGAGCCAACCGGAAGTCCTGTTCCCCCATCACAGACTCCTCCTAGTGCAGCATCCTTTTTCCTCTACTGACCGGAAGTCCGATTCCCCCACCATAGTCTCCTCCTAGCATGGCATCCTTTTTCCTCTAACTGTCCTAACCGAAAGCCCGATCAATTGTGGAGCCGACCAGCAAAAGGGAGACGCAGCAGAGGGATGAAAGAGCCACATGCGGCTCCAGAGCCACAGGTTGCCGACCCCTGACCTAGTCCATCCAGACGGAAAACTCCCACCAACCAAAAGATACCCAGAGGAAGGGAAACAGTTCTCTCTTCACCGCTGCTTTGTAAGTTGCTCCACTTCGACTTGAAGGCTGTTGATCTTGTCCCCAAATTCCTCCTTGAAGAGCCGATTGTCCTCCTGCAGAGACTGGCGCTCCCGCTCGGACAGCTGCAATCTGGGTATGAGCCATATGAACTTGTGATAAAAAACAAAAGCTATGGTAGGGGGGGAAGACCAAATTGAAACCATAAATAAAAGGAAAGGGCAGAATTGAGCGATGAGAGGGATGAGCGTGGGAACGAGAAGGAGGGCGGGGACGAGAAACAAAGTCTAACGAAGGACTAAAAAAATAAATAAATTAAACAATGGCTGAGGTGAACCAGGCAGAAGGAGCATGTCTCTTTTCCATTTTTTTTTATTCTATTACTACAGTTTACAGTCATTAGATGATAAACATAAAACATCACTTTTATTTATCCATAGTCAAAGCAAATCTCAAGTACAGGGTAATGTGAAAAGGTCTTTGTGGGTTCTTTATTACGTTACACTGCAGCTTTATTATACAACTGGAATTTGCGTCAAGGGGTATCTAGGTTATTAGTGCATTTGTCTAGCCTCATTCACAACTGTTACATCGGGGGAAGCACGCGAGGGTCCCAGATCGAAGGCAAAGTTGTGGGCTGTTCGTTTTAGGGTTCCCAGACTATTTCGGGGGGGGGGCTGCTCAACGAGAAGAAAGGGGGCAAAGGATACTATCACAACACACAAACTGATTTTTGGCTACTTGAAATCCACCAACCGGGGAGGGGGGGGCAAATACGTAGGGTGAAAGCTTCACCGGATGGTGGTCAGGTAGAACGAATCGTTCTTCCAAAATAAGGACGACGCCTGCCTTTCCCCTTCTGAAACGGGCTCAAGAAGTCAGTCCGCCAAGTGGCACCATCGGCAAGGTAGGACCTTCCAAATACTCAAGAGGGGGTTCTTAGGAACTATCTCTGGGTGGAAAATAAGAGAGATCTGTTTCAGGTGGGCCACCTGTATGTTCAAACTGGCCTTTTATTAATGGTCGGTTGGCTGCTGCAGAGGGACTTGAGGCATCGGTTGCAGGGGTGGGATTCAGCCGGTTTGGACCGGTTCGAGTAAACCGGATGCTAATTTTACATCTCGTTCGCCGAACTGGTAGTTGCAAGGACTGGCTGACCCCGCCCACCCTGCCCCTCCCCACCCAGAAGTCTCCAAGTGGCCCGTTTTGGATGCAAGGTAAGTGCAGGGCCCACGCAGAGGCTCTGGGAGGGCAAAAAATGGGCCTCCCGGAAGTACTGGAAGTGCACCCATTTCCGGCCTCCAGAGGGCTTCTGGAGCCTGGGGGAGGCCGTTTTCACCCTCCCGGAGGCTCAAGGAAAGCCTCCGGAGCCTGGGGAGGGTGAAAAACAGGCCTACCAGAAGTCTGGAAATGGGACCGTTTCCAGACTCTGGAGGGCCTCCAGAGCCTGGGGGAGGCTGTTTTCACCCTCCCGGAGCCTTGAGGACACCCTCCGGAGCCTGGGGAGGGTAAAAACGCCCCCCCCCCATGGTGCAGGAGGCCGAGTAGGCCACATCCCCCCAGCAACCGGGCAGAGAACCGGTTGCTAAAATTTTTCAAGCCCATCCCTAAAGGTTGGCGGGGGTAAAGAGGTGCCCATTGGCCCATCAAAGCTCAACCTTTGCCACAAGGGCGAGAAGCATCAGTGCAGTGGTGGGTGGCTACCAGTTCGCCATGGATTGGGTGAACCAGTAGCGGTGGCGGCGGGAGAGTCTGCCCACCCGCCGAGACGCTTCTGCACATGTGCAGAAGCATTGCACGCGCATGAGCGAACCGGTAGCAACAGGTTTTGAAACCCACTACTGCACCAGTGGGATAATTTCTACCCTAGAGAAATTCTGCAAAGGTGACCTTCTCTGCTCCCGCTGGAATCGAGCGGGACCTGAGCCCCTTGTGAGGATCGTCTCTCACACAGTGAGTGAAGAACAACAAACCTAGGAGTTAATTCCCAATCGGTTGCAAAAGCCGGAGGAAAATAGTCTACACAAAAGAGAAGGGCAAGCATCCTGTTTTACAGAGCAGAGAGGAGAAAATGATACAGGAGGGCATTGTCTATCTAAGGCCTGTCTATCTATATTCCTATCTTTTTTTTTTTTTTTTTGCATGTACCCATTTTCCTGGAGCAAGCAGAGGTGATTTATATAGGATGAAACTATTTCAATCCTAATGGGAACTTAGAAGAAGACCCCCCCCCAATTAAATAGGGATGTGTGCAAGGTTTTACGCTTCCCCAAATCCTCAACCAATACAGCCCAAAGTATCTCCTAGGAATGCTGGAGAAACATTTGGAGGGCACTTGGTTGCAGAACAACTATTAAAGATGGGGGTGGGTGGGAAATAGTTTGGATAGTTTGAAAAATGTTGATAATTCTCCACACACTCTCTTACAATCACCTTGGGATTTCATCAGAATTAGGAAAAGAAAAGAAAAATACACTGTTGGGTTACAGCATGGTGTTTTAGTAGACTTTCTAAGGCTTAGATGCTCTTTTGCTACAATTCCTAGCAAATCCCTTGTTTGATTAAGATCACTCCGAAGCAAATGTTAATAGCGGCCAGAGATAGCTTTAAACGATGGCCAAAATTATTTTTCGCTGTAGTTGCTTTTAGTCAAAGAGTGATTTGCAATAAAACACTATCGGTTCTGTTTATCTTTATATATATATATATATATATATATATATATATATATATATATATGTATGTATGTATGTATGTATGTATGTATGTATGTATGTATGTATGTATATATGTATGTATATGTATGTATATGTATGTATGAAAGAGACAATTATTCAGTCTTTTCTAAAAGAGCAAGGGAAGGCAAGACACATGTATTATAAAAGTCAACCAGGAAATGAGGATCACTATATTTTTAGAGAGAAAAGGCAGAGGTAGAAGTCAATGCAGAGGGAAAGAAGGGTTTTTACCAATTTAAAAAATAGCTAACAGCTAGATTTTGCATCCATGTCACCTAAAGGGGGACGAATAAATCATTTCCCCTGTTATGAAAGTGGCCTGCGCCAGCTGGCCTTGTTATCTTAGCTCGTCCTCCTCGGATTGCTAAAAAAAAAAAAAATCCGGTTACAACTCTTGAGCAATGAAAATTGACGTGATTTGCATCGGCTGAACGCGGGGGGGGGGGGGGGGGGGGGGAGTCTTCTGAATTATTCTTTAAATACCCATCCGTCCACCGGCTACGTCAAACAAAAAGGATTTTGCTCGTTCGGATGGATCGGTAGGTAGCCTTAAAAAGGAAATTGTCGCAAAACAGAGCGGGACGAGGGAAGTGTTCTCAACTGCAAGCCGAGCAAAAGAAAAGGCAAGCAACGGCGAGTCCAGATGGAATTGACTCCATCTCTCCGGTTCTCTCCAATAATTTTCAACCGGCTTCGGTTGGAAGGGATTTTATTCCTGGGAATGGGAATATTCCCCCTTAAGGGAAGGTGCTTTGCAGCCCCACCTCCCCCAGCCTTTCAAATCAATTTCAATTTACAAAACATCCCGAGCCAACTAAGTCTCAGGTAGAAAATTTTGCAGTGCAGATAAGCTTTTGGTGAATAACGGCCAAATGTTCTGAAAAAGCAACTTCTAACCCTGGTGTGTGTCTGTCCCGTTTAGGATCAAGTGGGGGACACCACATCTACAAAAACGGTGGTTTCCTGCAGGCTCCCAAACGTCTCTGCCTGTTTTTTCACCCCCTCCATCTACTTCACAACAGGGAAGCCAAGAATTTCTTCCTTTGGAGTTGAACATTTGGGGCGAGGAAGGAACATTGCTATACTTTTCTATATCATGTAGTAAAGGCTAAAAGAAAAAAAAATGTCTAGTATACAATTGCATGTACATAGTCACAAATCAGATTTTATCTTATCTTCTTTCTGGAGTACGCTGATCGAATTGCTCCTATTTTAATAAAGTTTTTAAGCGTTAACAGGGGGGAAAGGAAAGCCAGAAGTTTTAATTTTTCTATTTCTGAATAAAACCTTTAAAAAAAAAAAAAAATCCCATCAAATTCCACGTCAACTTTTGTGACAACATGTAAATCTGACATCTAAATTCTCGATTTTTTTGTTTTTGCTCTTCGCTCGTTCACGGAGCTTTTGATGTCAGAGTTGCGATGCGATCGGCTGCCCAAAATTAAAATGTCTAGTGAGGCTTCTGAATTAATTTGTTTGCTGCGCTATTTAAGGTTTTTGCCTGTTTCACCAAATCCTTTTCGCTGTTAAGGAGGGGGAAGAAAAGGAAATAAAAATGATATGTGGAAAATGGGGGTTGGAGTAGAGAAAATACGTAATAAAAAAGAATACCAATTAATCGAACAGATATCAGAGGTTATGTATTACAGTACTTTAAATAAACACAGCTGAAATATAATTACCTCTTGATCTTCATTTCGTAAGAAGGCCTATTAACACATACCTCAAATAAAGTTACGTATTTTCCAAGTCGAAGAGCGCTGTATATGTTTCAGAATCCTTTGCAGGTAGTCCTCGACTTACAACCTTTTCTGTTTAGTGACCATTTGAAGTTACAATGGCACTGGAAAAAACGACTTATGACCGTTTTTCATACATGACTACTGCAGCATTCCCACTGTCACATGATCAAAATTCAGACGCTTAGCAACTGATTCATATTTATGACGGTTGCAGAGTCCCAGGGTTACATAATCCCCTTCTGCGACCTTCTGACAAGCAAAGTCAATGGGGAAGCCAGATTCACTTAACAACTGTGTTACTACTTTAAGTGACTCACTTAACGAATGTGGCAAGAAAAGTCGTAAAACAGGCCGAAACTCACTTAACAACTTTCTCGCTTAGCAACAGAAATTTGGGGCTTGATTGTGGTTGTCTAAGTCGAGGACTACCTGAACTGTCAAATGTTTTCTCAAATTGCAAGCATTTAATTTATGTGGTCCAACTCAAACATCTCATTAAGCCACAATGCGATATGCTAGGTCCATGATGGCGAACCTATGGCACGCGTGCCACAGGTGGTACACGTAGCCATATCAGTGGGCATGCCAGCTAATTTTGGGGCTTTCTGGGCCCACCAGAAGTAGGGAGACAGGCTGCTTCCTGCCTCCGGAGGGTGGGTGGGGAAGGCCCATTTTTCTTTCTCACCTGGCTCCAGAGACTCAGCTGGCTACAGCAAAAAAACGTCACTTCCAACCAGAAGTTGGGAAACGGGCCATTTTGGGCCTCTGGAGAGCCTCCGAGGAGGTGGGGAAGGCTGTTTTCGCCCTCCCCAGATGCATAGAGAGGATCTGGAGCCAGGTGAGAGAGGAAAACGGGCCTACCGGGCCATCGCATGCCAGGAGAGGCGGGTGGGGAGGGAGAATTGCGTGTGCATGCGTGGGGCAGGGCGCATAGAATTATGGGTGTGAGCACATGTGGGTGCGAACCTCCCCCGCCCCCCCTTTGTGGCACGCAATGGCAAAAAGGTTAGCCATCACTGTGCTAAGTGATCTTAGCGTGCCACAGAACCCAACCATCATGGATTGTAAATGATGGTTATGGCCTGCCATGGTGTGTGATGCCAATTATCGGTGGAATATTGAATAAACCCCGTTATGCATCCATTTCATAGCACATTATAGCAATTAGATCTCAGTCTATAAGGAAATGGAGAACATACAATTACATCCTGACTTTTCCAATTTTCTTGTTGCCAAAACTTACTGTGCACATAAGATTTAAGAGGGTACCTGTAGATGGCAGTAGAGAGTTACAAAAACATCCAGCTCTTTGCTGCTCTCTAAAGCAGCTATGGATTGTTGCGGAATCCAAGTGATTTACTTATCCACAACCTTTTTGTGACTTGGAATTCTGGGAAAAAAGCTGGCCTGAAGTTCTATCAGTGCTATTATCATGTTTCCCCGAAAATAAGACCCTGTCTTATATTTTTTTGAACCCCGAAATAAGCGCTTGGCCTTATTTTCGGGGAGGTCTTATTATTTTGGGGTGCGTGGAGCAAGATGGGGCTCTTCTTGCTGTCTTACCTGATTTCCAGCTCTGTGTTTAAATATTTTTGGGGAGGGCTTATTTTCGGGGGGGGGAGGCTTATTTTAGCGCATGCCTCAAAAGCCCGATTGGGCTTATTATCAGGGGATGTCGTATTTTCGGGGAAACAGGGTATATAACGCGCAGCTCAATATTTCCCAAGTTTTCTGCCACAGAAAACAAGACACGTGCAAGAAACAAGTTTAGAAAACCTAAGTGCTATTTTCATGTAACCCAAGGATGAACGAAAGGATGAATATAAATCAACATAATAGCTTGCTTGGATAAACCGGTTTCATGTTTTACCTCTGTTCAAGCAGTTTAATTGTAGCGGCCATTTGACTGGTCTTCTCCTCCAAACGGCTGTTCAATTCACTCTTCTGTTTCATTCCCAGATCTGAACTCTTAAAAAAAAACCAAAGAGAGCAATAAAACTATGCTTACTTATCTTTAAAGGTTATGAGGTCACATTTAATACACGAGCAACAATCGCCATGTGCAAATTATTTGTATTTATTTTGCAGTGCTGTAGGCCCATCTCATCTGATTTAATGCCTCTAGATGTAATTGTGAGAGGGATCACGGAGTCTTAGTGGACAACCAGCTGAATATGAGCCAGCAGTGTGCGGAGGCAGCCAAAAAAGCCAATGCAATCCTAAATTGCATTAACAAAGGGATACAATCAAGATCAAGGAAGGTACTAATACCACTCTATAAAGCCTTAGTAAGGCCACACCTAGAGTACTGCATCCAGTTTTGGTCACCACACTATAAAAAAGAGGTTGAGACTCTAGAAAAAGTGCAGAGAAGAGCAACCAGGATGATTAGAGGACTGGAGGCTAAAACATACAAAGAACGGTTTCAGGAACTGGGCATGGCTAGTCTAGTGAAAAGAAGGACCAGGGGAGACATGATAGCATCTTCCAATATTTGAGGGGCTGCCACAGAGAGGAAGGGGGTCAAACTATTTTCCAAAGCACCTGAAGGCCAGACAAGGAATAATGGATGGAAACTGACCAAGGAGAGATTCAACCTACAAATGAGGAGGAACTTTCTGACAGTGAGAACCAGGGATGATTTTTTTTTTTAATTTATTTACTTTTTTAATTTGATTTATATGCCGCCCTTCTCCGGAGACTCAGGGCGGCTTACAATGCGTTAAGCAATAGCCGTCATCCTTTTGTATATTTTATACAAAGTCAGCTTATTGTCCCCACAAACTGGGTCCTCATTTCACCTACCTTAGAAAGGATGGAAGGCTGAGTCAACCTTGAGCCTGGGGAGATTCGAACTTACAGTAATTGCAGACAGCTGGTGTTAATAACAGGGTGCACTAAACCACTGTACTATCAAGGCTCTTGAAATGCTCCCGGTTCGGACCGGATTGGGCGATCTGGTAGTGATTGTGGCAGGTGGTTCGGAGAACTGGTAGCAATGGCGGCGCGAGGCTCCTCCCACCTGCTCAGGTGTCATTACTTCCTGCTGCTTTTAAAAGTTAAAAAAAAAGGCTCTGAGGATCATGTGCCACAGCTGTGATTCTCAGAGCCTTTTTTTTTTTTTACTTTTAAAAGCATTTTGTTTTACAACCTATTCAGCGGGCTGCTTTAGATCATGAAAACCAGTCAAACCTTCTACAGGCCCGAAGATTATTTTGCAAAATGTGCCATTGGTAATATTGGTTTCAGAGGACAGAAGGAAAACAATTGAATATGCGTATCCCCATTTTTCTTGCTTCTAACGACGAGGGGGAAAGTGGAATTTGCAACGGAGACAGCTTGCAAACTCTCTCGGCTTTCAATCCAGGATTAAGAGAGTGTTTACTTCATGCTTAAACCAGCCCTGTGTGGAGAAATTGCAGAAATTCTTCTGTCTCTAAGGAGCCATCTTATCCCACATGGATTAGGCTGCTCCATATTCTTTAATCACATCAACCAAAAGAAAAAGAGTAAAGAGTTGTAGTGATGGCAAGCTTTCTAACTACCGTATTTTTCCGAGTATGACACACTTTCCCCCCCCCCCAAAAGAGGATAAAAATTTGGGTGCGTCTTATACACCGAATGTAGCCCCGCCCACCCACCGGCCCCCACCCTTTGGCCTCTGCCTCCCAGCAATTTACCTCCTTGCAGCAAACAGCAAACAGCCTGTTTCAGCTTCAGTACAGTCTGATAAGCACAAGCAGCTGATTGTCGGTCCCGACCCTCAGCTGTTTCAGGCTGCGGGGATTGCCATTGCCTATAGCTGCGCAGGCCTCCGCTGTTTGCTGCAAGGAGGCAAATTGCTGGGAGGCAGATTTGTATTTTCTTGTGCTAATCAGGCTGTGCTGAAAATGAAACTAAAGCAGGCTCTTTGCTGTTTGCTGCAAGGAGGCAAATTGCTGGGAGGCAGAGGCAGGTTTTTTTTTTCTTGTTTTCCTCCCCCAAAAAGGTAGGTGCGTCTTATAGTCCGGAGTGTCTTATACTCCGGAAAATACGGTAAGCCATCTTATTCTCCCTTGTCCATGACCTCCATTTGTCCCATATGGAAGCGAAGAGGCTGAGGCAGGGCCCGGCAACTAACCCATTCCTGTTGTTTTACCTGCAGCTTGAAAGAAAGTTCAAGTTTTAGGGCCCTGAGATCATCTAGCTGTTGCCTGAGCACCACAAGAGCATCCTGCTTCTCGCAAACGTCTTTTTCCAGCATCTTCATAGCCAGCTCCATCTCTTGTCTCATTCCGATCTGCATTTCAAGCTCTTTTTCCACATCCTAAAAGCAGGCACGCACATACAGACGTGACAGGTGAGGGCCTGAAGGTCTGAAAGACTCTTTCCCCCACAATCAGAAATCACTACAATTCAAGAAATGGTAGCAACGGGGGAAGTGTGACCTTTTCCGTTCCTGCAGAACGGAAAATATCTATCTATCTATCTATCTATCTATCTATCTATCTATCTATCTACCTACCTACCTACCTACCTACCTACCTACCTACCTACCATCTCTATCCATTATCTATTTATCTATTTATCTATCTATCTATCTATCTATCTATCTATCTATCTATCTATCATCTATCTACCTACCTACCCACCTACCTACCATCTCTATCCATTATCTATCTATCTATCTATCTATCTATCTATCTATCTATCTATCATCTATCTATCATCTCCATCCATTATCTATCTATCTATCTATCTATCTATCTATCTATCTATCTATCATCTCCATCCATTATCTATCTATTTATCATCTATCTATCTGTCTGTCTGTCTGTCTATCATCTCCATCCATTATCTGTCTATCTATCTATCTATCTGTCTGTCTGTCTGTCTGTCTGTCTGTCTGTCTGTCTGTCTATCTATCATCTCCATCCATTATCTATCTATCTATCTGTCTGTCTGTCTATCTATCTATCTATCTATCATCTCCATCCATTATCTATCTATCTATCTATCTATCTATCTATCTATCTATCTATCTATCTATCTATCTATCTATCTATCTACCTACCTACCTACCTACCTACCTACTACCTACCTACCTACCATCTCTATCCATTATCTATTTATCTATTTATCTATTTATCTATTTATCTATTTATCTATTTATCTATTTATCTATTTATCTATCTATCTATCTATCTATCTATCTATCTATCTATCTATCATCATCTCCATCATCTATCTATCTATCTATCTATCTATCTATCTATCTATCTATCTATCATCTCCATCCATTATCTATCTATCTATCATCTATCTATCTATCTATCTATCTATCTATCTATCTATCTATCTATCATTCTATCTATCTATCTATCATCTATCTATCTATCTATCTATCTATCTATCTATCTATCTATCTCTATCTCTCTCATCTCTATCTGTCTATCATCTATCTATCTATCTATCTATCTATCTATCTATCTATCTATCTATCTATCTATCTATCTATTTATCTATCATCTCCTTGTTGCTTTTCCAAAAAGTACTGAAGACATGGGTTTATCAGTGGGGAGCAGGGATTGTCGGAACTTCAGAACAGATCGTAAGTACATTTTGGAGTTTGGGGGGGGGGGGAGTCCATTGTAACTTTGAACAGTCGCTAAGCGACCAGTTTTAAGTTGAGGACCACCTATATCTATTGTGACACCTTTCTTTTTCTTGTGCCATATTCATCATCGGAAGTTGGCGGTAATGTTGTCGATCCTATTTTTATCAACAGCCGCATGAAAAAGTGCTGCTGAGTTTTGTCTAAACCAGTCCCTTAGATTTTGAAGCCATGATCTTCTTCTTCTGCCTAGAAACCTTTGGCCTTGTAGATAAATGGGACATGGGCACATTTTTCCTCATTTTCCTATTCTCTGGGAACATACCAATAGGTAATGAAACCCGAGACTGTTTTTCTGATAAATGGACATTAAACATTAAAGCCAGAAAATGGATACTTTTGATTTTTGTGACATTGATGAATTCCAAATTCCAGGATCCCTGTACGCTGACTATGCTGGGCTGAACTTACAAGGAGTTGTAATTCTGCCCTAGCTTCTCTTCACCTGTTAACTACCTTACCAGTCTTAATTGCGTCTCCTCTTTCAGCTGTTTCCTAGCTTCGGTGAGGGCATGTCCATCTGCAGTTCGATCTTGCTTATTTACCTATAATTAAGATGTCAATCAAGCAAAGAGAAGGGAAAGAGGATAAGTCACAGAGATGATGTCCAGAATCACTTGATAGTGAAATGGACAGCATGTACATTTAATAAACAAATAATAAATAAATGACGGAGATTAGTGCTGTCTCTTCTAAGCACAAAGTTAATAATTGTTCTGTCCCCCAATGTACCTGCAATGTACTGGCTGGGGAAGAGAACATGTTGTAAAAATGCCAGAATCCTCTCAGTTAACACCAAATGTGTGACAATATGAAGACTCTCTGAGAATCTTCACATTAACCCCCAAAGCTAACAATTTCTTTTCTTTGGACTTTTTAAATCCCACCTTTATTATATTTACAAATAACTCAAGGCACTGAACTTACCTAATATCCTCCCTTCCTCTTATTTTCCCCACAACAACAACAACCCTATGAGGTGATGAGTTGGGCTGAGAGAAAGAGTGACAGAATCTGTAACATGGCTCATTTGATAGGATCTCTTTATTTTCAGTCACTCTTCCGCTTTCTGCTTATGTTTTGTGTTATCTGTCATCCTCGCTTAACTATAGTGAAATTGGGATCAGAACTTCCGTCAGAAAAGTGATTTGGCTGTAAAGTGCGACGTCACATGGCTGCACCACTTAAGAGATGGCAGTTTGGTTGTCCATCTGTTGATGGAATTGCTTGTGGAGTGCCAGGCACAGACATTGACCTATAACCAGCCTATGAACCAGGGGTGAAATCCATCAGGTTCTGACAGGTTCTGGAGAACCAGTAGTGGAAATTTTGAGCAGTTCGGACAACTGGTAGCGGAAATTTTGAGTAGTTCGGAGAACTGGCAAATACCACCTCTGACTGGCCCCAGAATGGGGTGGGAATGGAGTTTTTGCAATATCCTTCCCCCAGGAGTGGGGAGGGAATGGGGATTTTGCAGTATCCTTCCCCTGGAGTGGTGGGAATGGGGATTTTGCAGTATCCTTCCCCTGGAGTGGGGAGGGAATGGAGATTTTGCAGTATCCTTCCCTTGCCATGCCCACCAAGCCACGCCCACAGAACCGGTAGTAAAAAAAAAAATTGGATTTCACCACTGCTATGAACCCCTCAGAATCAAAAATCAACTGAGGAGCCTTGGTAGTACAGTGGTTTAATGCACCCTGTAATTAACACAGCTGCCTGCAATTTCTGCAGGTTCGAATCTTACCAGGCTCAAGGTTGACTCAGCCTTCCATCCTTTCTAAGGTAGGTTAAATGAGGACCCAGTTTGTGGGGGCAATAAGCTGACTTTGTATAAATATATACAAAAGTATGAAGGCTATTGCTTAACGCATTGTAAGCCGCCCTGAGTCTCCGGAGAAGGGCGGCATATAAATAAATAAATAAATAAATAAATAAATAAATAAATAAATAAATAAATAAAATAATAATAATAATAATAATAATAATAAAAACTACAAAGCCAACCACAGACAACCAATCCACACAATTCCCCTCAACAGCAGTTCGCCTCCCAATGACCCTGAGGTAATCTCTTTATCACAAGATCCCTTACAAGATTAACTGATGACGCACATCTGACCCCTCACAAGAACCTCACTTGACATACCCACACCTGAAGTCCTTAAAACAAAAGAACACCGACACTGGCATCCCCTAAACTTCAGTGAGGATGTTACCGAGCCTGGTAACGAAATGTTCGGAAACCAAGCCACAAGCTTAGAGAACCAACCTTCACCCTCATCCTACACCCGAGCTACAGATATTCGCCACTACTGCCAATAAAGAGGTCTTATCAATGAACCATGTTACAGAAGCATACGTGAATGTGAAAACAATCCTCAGTTGCTATGTATGTAACGTGTGCATAAATCCTGACCTTTCGGTTGGATTCCAAAATGTACGAACTCTCCTCTTTGACTCGCTCCATTTCTTCTTGCAGTGTTATAATTCTGTTGTTGGCGACGGCAAGCTGCGTTAAACACAAGAACACAAATGAAAAGACAAAATCTACTATGATTGTCATTTTCAAATAATTTGGATTTGGGGGCTACAAATCCACCTGCAGCTCCATATACAGTACAGTAGTGTCCAAAATTATGGGAACCTTTTGGGGAAAGTGTATTTTTGAGGTTTAATGGCTAATGACACCACTTTTTTTTTGGAGTTTCAAGCTAATCCTATTCCACTGCTGGAATGGCCTGGGAATAGCCCAGACCTTAACCCAATTGAAAATCTATGGAGCCGACTAAAGAAACCTGTTAGTCAGAAGCGACCCAGCAATAAAACCCAGTTAATAGAAGCAATCCTTCAATCTTGGTTTCACATTAGAACAGCTGAAGAACTCAAAGACTTGGTTCACTCCATGGGAAGATGTTGTAAAGCCGTCATTCATGCTAAAGGTTACCCAACTAAGTATTAACTGACACAGTGATAATTTTTGTATCTCTCGTTTTTTCTACATGTTTCACTTTTCTTCTTTATACTGTAACTGCTATTCTAATAGCAAATCCTTCATAAAAGTTATTGCATTAAATTCCTGATTAAATTATCTTTCCATTGATATATAATTTTATGGTACTACTCCAAAAAAATGTGGTGTTATTCGCTAGTTTTAGAAAATACACTTTTCCCAAAAGGTTTCTACAATTTTGGCTATCAGTACTTGTTAGTGCCCTGCACTAATGGATAGTTGTTAACTGCAGGGGAAAAAAATTGCAACCAGCCTGCCTTTTCCATTGAGGACCCGTATAGTGCATGAACCAGAAGGAGGGCTGACAAAATATCTGCAGACCCCTCACATCCTGGACATAAATTGTTTCAACTCCTCTTCTCAGGATGCAATTACAGGGCATTGCATGCCAAAACAATTAGGCAGTTTTTTCCCTCATGCCATCACTCTGCTGAACACTTAATTCTTAAGTATCTTTTCTTTTATGTACTCCGAGAGCGTATGCACCAAGACAAATTCCTTGTGTGTCCAATCACACTTGGCCAATAAAGAATTCTATTCTATTCTATTCTATTCTATTCTATTCTATTCTATTCTATTCTAATTCTAATTCTAATTCTAATTCTATTCTATTCTATTCTATTTTACTCGAAGGATATCTAACAATGTAGTAGGGGTGTTTTACTTCTCCTCTTTCCTATTATCTTCTCCTATTGGTATCTTATGATTTATCACGTTGTTTGTATGTACATCGAGATCCCAAAGGGGCTTTTTCAACAGGTAACTGGACTTTCTGGTTTTTCTTTGAAGACGTTTCACTTCTCGTCTGAAGAGCTGAAGAAGCTTCTTGGATGAGAAGCGAAAAACGTCTTCAAAGAAAAACCAGAAAGTCCAGTTGCCTCTTGAAAAAGCACCTTTGGGACACCCATGACCTGGATGACTGAGAATCTCCATAGACATTTAGCAGTACACTGAGATCTTACACACCGGAGACAAATTCCTTGCGTGTCCAATTACACTTGTCTAATAAAGAATATTCTTTGCAGAATTCCACAATAGAGTAACTCTCTATTAGACATCTGTGCTCTAGCCCAGATAGATTTCCATCCCATAATATTAATTCATCTGGCATCTCTTGCATTTGGAATCTGTTTTGGGATATGCATGAACCAGACTGGGATATTACTTAATCTAGAAGCTAAATCTAATTTATGAATGTATCCTAATGTTTATTTATTTATTTTTATATGCCGCCCTTCTCCGGAGACTCAGGGCGGCTTACAATGCGTTAAGCAATAGCCTTCATACTTTGTATATTTTATACAAAGTCAGCTTATTGCCCCCACAAACCGGGTCCTCATTTTACCCACCTTAGAAAGGATGGAAGGCTGAGTCGACCTTGAGCCTGGTGAGAATTGAACTCGCAGTAATTGCAGGCAGCTGGATGTTAAATGCTGCCTTAGTAGGAGGCATTAGCCTCCTACACCACTCAGGCTTCTAAAGCCTGATTGTTGTTTCTGTTAATTTTATCCTCATATTTCTTTCATTTCTACCTACCTCCTCAGTTAGTTTAGTGTTAGATTTTTCCAAAGCATCGACCTTTGCCTGCAAGTTGTTGACTGTAGCACTGTCCAATAAAAAGAAAAAAGACATGAAATAATTCTATGGAACTTAAGAATTCAACGCAAATTGACCAAATTTTCTACAGAAGATTTACCTCTTTACCTTAAATGTCTATTGAGTTCTTCTACATAATTTTTCTGATCCAGAATTGCAGTAATTTGACCATCGCTGAAAATAGGACACAGTGAGTATTAACCATGCACAGAGAGAAATATTAAGCAGAGCAAAGCAATATGTTTAGGAAAAAGACTCTGTTGATTGCATTGATGAAAAAAAATCATTAATTAATACAGATTAATTAGTTGGCCCCTAGAAAAGCAGACATCAATTTTTTTTTTCTGACATGATAACAAAATAAGAACTGTCATCAATTCAACTGACAGTTGTTTGAAAATTCATACTACATTAAAGCAACGATTAAGGTTTTAAGGCATACTATGGTCTGAATTGACATGTGCTATAAACCTAGAATTAAAAGAATAAATAAATGATTGTCTGAAAAGAATTAGAAACCGTGATGTGAAAAGAAACAAATTGCCGCTTGTCATAATTATATATTTGCATAATGTCTGAACCAGGGGTAAAATCCAGCAGGTTCTAACAGGTTCTGGGGAACCAGTAGCGAAAATTTTGAGTAGTTCGGAGAACCGGCAAATGCCGCCTCTGGCTGGCCCCCAAGTGGGGTGGGAATGGAGATTTTGCAATATCCTTCCCCCAGGAGTGGGGAGGGAATGGGGATTTTGCAGTATCCTTCACCTGCCACGCCCACCAAGCCACACCACACCCATCAAGCCACGCCCACAAAACCAGTAGTAAAAAAATTTGGATTTCACCACTAGTCTGAACTGACAAGTCAACAACATTCATCCAGGCTGATTGCAGGAAAGGTCAAAAAAAATCAAGAAGGTGATTAAGACATCCCACCCTTTTTATATGTGATGATTTAATACTCCCAGCTGCCATCTCTGACAAACTCACACATACTTAAACATCCCTGCTCCAGAAGCTGCTGTTTCACAGAGATAAAAGTGAACCTATAAAAACGAGCGACGACTGTCAGTTTATTTTTATTTCTTAAATTTTGTTTTTTTAACTTTGGAAGAACAAATTAAAAAGTGGGTGCTGAAATGACAGATCTATAAAGCAGACAAGTAACTCTAAGCCAAACTAGCTTTCTTAAACTCGCCTCCCCGCCCATCCCTATGCTGTCCTATTTAGCTACATTTTCTAAGTCGCACGCGTGCGTGCAAGCAGCAAACCAGTGGTAAAATTATGTGAAACCCACCTCTGCACTAAGTGAACGTGTTCTAAGTTGAGGACTACCTGTAACTCTAGACATCATTACAACATTGTGCTAAATCTGGCATTGCAGCAGGGGTGGGTTCCACTTACCTTCGCTACCGGTTCGCAACGGGTGCGAACCGGTAGTGTGAAGCTTCTGCGCAGGGGTGAAATGCTCCCGGTTCAGACTGGATCGCCTGATCCGGTAGCGATGGTGGCGGGTGGTTCGGAGAACCGGTAGCAAAAATCCCTGCCCACCACCACCACCACCATGCCCAGCTGAGCCGCACGATCATCAGAGGCTTTTTTTTTAAAAAAAAACAACTTTTAAAAGCATTTTTTCTACAACCTCTTCTGACGAAAAAATGCTTTTAAAAGTTTTTTTAAAAAAGCCTCTGATGATCGCGTGGCTCAGCTGGGATCGTCAGAGGCTTTTCAAAGAATTTTTTTCTGCAACCTCTTGGCCGAAGAGGTGGTAAAAAAAATGCTTTGAAAAGTCTCTGACGATCCCAGCTGAGTTGCTTGATCGGCAGAGAGGCATTTTTTAAAAAGCCTCTCTAACGATCCCAGCTGAGTTGCCTGATCGACAGAGGTTTTTCAAAGCATTAGAAAAAATGCTTTGAAAAGTTAAAAAAAAAAAGCTGGCCACGCTCACCCAGTCACATTACTGCCCCCCACCAAGCCACGCCCACAGAACCGGTAGTAACAAATTTTACATTTCACCCCTGCTTCTGCACATGCTCAGAGCGTCCGTGATGACACCCAGGCGTGTGGGCGGAGCCTCCCGCCGCCACTACTACCGGTTCGCAAGATCCGGAGCGAACTGGTAGCAACCCACCATTGCATTGCAGGTTTGGGTGACAAAAAAACAGGGGGAAAAAACGAAGGTGTAAAATTGACAAAGTTCTCTTGTAACAACAGAGTTTCAGAGCAGGGTCTAAAATGAAGATTCTGGATAGGAACCCAAGGACTTACCCTTCACTGCCTTTACTGCTGCTGCCATCCTTCAAATACATTGAAAAATCAATAACGCCAACCTACGAGAGAAGACAACAATACTTCATGTCCGACATGTGCAACTTTTTTTTCCATTTTATTCTTCTTACACTCTTAACTTATTAACTGTGTGATTCATCCAGGCATGTTTAGTCACGGCACAATCAGACTCGCAAGATGGATTATAAGCAGACCAGGCCAAGAAATCAATTCCACAGAAAGGCTGGATTTATTTTTATTGAGATGACCTCTATAGTCACAAAACTGTTGTGACCCCGACTCCTGAGCCTGTCCTAACAGAGGAAGAGGACTCAGAAGGTGATGGGGAGGAACTGATAAGGCCTCCCTCCTCTCTGGCAATGCCTCAGGTTCCATCCAAAGGCCAGGAGGAACAGCCTGGGATGTGCCAGGAGGAAGGCATATCGGAGCACCAATTGATAGAGAGCGAGGATGATGAATCCTGGCTTGATCCCAGGCAGCATCGGAGGGAGAAGCGTGGGAGGGCCAGAGATTGAGCTGAGTCACGGAGCCATGCCCCACCAGGAATAAAAGTGGCTGGGATTGCTCTTCAGGCTTTGTGACGGACAAAGTTAAACCCTGAAAGTCACATCATGATCTCTGAAATTCGGCTTGGATATATTTTGGACTGAACATTGACTAAACTCTTGTCTCGTGGATAATTTGTTGCTCCTGGAACGGACTGAAGATAAGTCCTCTTCTGCTTTATAGGAGTGAAAAGGGTCTTGGCAGGCATTCGGCAGTTTGCGGCCAAACCTTGGTCTGCCAAGAATTCTAATCTGTTTACCTAATAAAATATTGGCAGGCGTGCTTGGTATTACGTTTGCCTGTGTGAGGAAGAGGGAGGCAGAACAAAAACTGTCCAAGTCCTCCTCTTTATGCAGGTAGTCCTCAAATTACGACCACAGGGGAGCACAACATTTCTGTTGCTAAGCGAGACAGCTGTTAAATGAATGTCGCCCCATTTTGTGACCTTTCTTTCCAAAGTTATTAAGCGAATCACTTTAAACACTGAAGTGATTCGCTTAATAACTGTGGAAAGAAAGGTCACAAAATGGGGCGACACACGGTTGTTAAGTGAATCTGGCTTCCCCATTGACTTTGCTCGTGAGAAGGTCACAAAAAAGGGAAATCACATGACTCCCCGGGGAAGCTGCAACCGGCGTAAATATGAGTCGGTTGCCCAATATTAGGATTTCGATCACGTGACCACGTGACTAAATGTGAAAACCGGTTGTAAGTCACTTTTTTCAGTGCTGTTGTAACTTTCAATGGTCACTAAATGAAATTGTTGTAAGCTGAGGACTAGCTATAGTTCAGTCAATTAGGGGGGTATCTGCCTCAGTTGCTTCCCGTTCTGGACTCAAAAATTTCTCCTCAGTCCCACCTGCCAAGGTTCTCTTCCTTGTAACAGAGCAGTATTTCTCATCCTTAACACCTTAGACTTCATTTCCCAGAATTCCCTGCCCACTTAGTAAAGTCACATTTGACTTGGCGTGCTATTAGGATACTAAATGTAGTAGCCGGGACAGTAAAGTGTACAATAGGCCAGAACACACAGTTGTCATTGATTGGTTAGAGCAATGATGGCGAACCAAGTGCCGAAAAGGGAGCACTTTGCACACGCACGCTTGTCAGGGCCGCAACCATGAAGAGGAGCTGCCCAAGGAGCATGCGCATGCCAGATAAGGTACTTCCGGTTTCCCAGCAAGTCTTCCGGTTATTGCCACGCATGTGCACGTGCAGATCAGCTGGCCGGCGCACATCCTCATACTGGAAAATGGAAGACCAGCTCTTCCGGTTTCTGGCACTGCCACACGCACAAAGGCCAGCTGATCGTCGTGTGCGCGTGCACGCAAGAAACCCGGAAGAGGAACGGGCAATGTTGTGTGTGCCAGGCGACATGGCACTGCGTGCCACTTCAAGCACTCATGCTATAGGTTCGCCATTACTGGGTTAGGGCGTGTTGATTCACGCATGAGGCAATCTATGCTATCATTGGTTGCTGTAAGCAGAAAGGGGGCGTTTCCCTTTTCCCCCGTCTTTTTCTCTTCCCATCTTTTCCCGTCTTTTTCTCTTCACACAACAACTGTGTGTTCTCTGTATGCAGGTAGTCCTCGACTTACAGCAGTTCGCTTAGTGACCGTTCAAAGTTACAACGGCACTGAAAAAATGTGACTTACGACCATTTTTCACAGTTATGACCTTTGCAGCATCCCCACGATCACGTGATCCAAATTCAGACACTTGGCAACTGGTTCATACTTATGACTGTCACTGTGTCCCAAGGTCATATGATCACGTTCTGCGACAAGCAAAGTTAATGGGGGAAGCCGGATTCGCTTAACAACCGGGGTTACTAACTTATCAACTGCAGTGATTCATTTAACAACTGTGGCAAGAAAGGTCGTAGAATTGGGGCAAAACTCACTTAATAAGTGTTTCCCTTAACAATAGAAATTTTGGGCTCAATTATGGTCGTAAGTCGAGGACTACCTGTACTGTTTAATTTACCTCACGATGTTCCTGTGTTCTTGACTATCTTGTGTTTGTTCTTTCTGGATGATGACAAAGACTACAAGTTTGTGTTAGTGTCTCTGACTTTTACCTAAACATCTGCTGTGCATTTCCCTGACAACGCTCAGCATTCAATAGCCCAACCGCAAGAAGGCTAATTGTTATCTACACGCTACAGTAACTCCCCACTTATATGTAAACACAAGATCCGGCACCTGAGAATCCAAGTCTTCTCCCTTCATGCAAAAATTTGCATCAATGACATTGAGGCCCACTAAAAGTCCAGCGATTATAGCACCCTCTTCCTCCATCATGAGGGCATTTGCTTCATAAAATTCACTGCAAAACATATTGAAATACAGATGGTTACATTATTATTATCTCTTTTATTCATTAAACATGAAACTCAGTTAACTGAACATTCAAAAATGCATCACAAATACCATTGACTGGCGCTAATGGTTGATACAGGTTGCTGCCAGCGTCCTAGGTATCAACCAAGTACCTTCTTAAGATGTACAATGTTCCGAGTAGTGCAGTTTTTTGCAGTTCCGCTAGTGTTATTGCAGAAAGCTGCAATTTGTTCGTGTATCTTATAAAATTCTTGGACATGGTACCAAGTGCCCCAGTGACAATGGGTATCACTGTTACATGTTGTTTTGTTGTTGTTATTATTATTATTTAAGGTTTAATCTTCAATTTGATTCATAATCTGGGACTGGTAAAAACTTAACAGTTCAAGTCCTAACCAAGGACCAAAGAGCCGTTAAGGTAACATCTTACCTGGCAACTGCCAGCTAGGCTGGAAGGAGGAGTCAAGTGAGGGCCAAGCTTAGAATCATTGCATGGTTGCAAACGGCATAAGCTTGACACCCTCCAGAATAGAGGGTAAGCTTATCTGGCCGTTCCCAGGGGAAGGCAAGCTGTGTAGGAAGATTCTTGTAACATACTGTATTTTTCGGAGTATAAGGCGCGCCCTTTCCCCCCCTAAAAGAGGGTGAAAATTTGGGTGCGTCTTATACACCGAATGTAGCCCTGCCCAGCCTCTGAAACGGAGGTTTCAGAAGCTGAAAAAAGCCTCTTAAAGGGAGGTTTCAGAGGCTGAATAAAAAAGCAAGGCGCAGAGCTCACAACCAACGAAACTGTTGCTAAAATTCACCTCTGGGAACAGCTGATTGGGGGTATTCCAGGAGGCCGATCCACCCACCAATCAGCTTTTTTCTTATTTTCCTTCCCAAAAACTAAGGTGCGTCTTATACTCCAGTGCGTTTTATAGTCTGAAAAATACGGTAGGTAGTAAACAATAAAACTACTGGCTTTGGTTACTTATGAAAGGCTATGGTTGCTTGCTCCAGACATGACCACCTCCTACCGGCCTCCCACCGCCCAGTGCGCTCACATAGGACCGCCCTCCTCCCTCCTGTTGGCGCCCAGGATGAGGGCGTTCTCTGTGGCCGCAACGACTCTCTGGAACGAGTTACCCACTGGGCTCTGGACGGTCCCCGACCTCCGCTCTTTCTGCGGTGACCTGAAGACGTGGCTTTTTCAACAAATCTCCTGATCTGTTGGAAGTTTTAGTTTTAACCATTCGGGGATTTTAATTGGATTATTTTAGTATTCACTTTACTGTCTTGTTGTTTTATTGTTGTGAGCCGCCCTGAGTCCTTCAGAAGAAGGGTGGCATATAAGTATGATATAAATAAAAATAAAATAAAATGATGTATTGTAACAAGTCCCCAAAAGGGACATTTTTTAAATTTCCTCCTTTTAAAAATCTTAGACCAGTGAAAGTAACAATATGTGGTGTAAAAAGACTGCTTAAGGACAGCATCTGATTTATGTCACACATGAGGATTTCCATTCAAGAATGAGCCGGGTTCTCACCTGAGAATTTCCCTTCTGTTTATCAAGGCTTTCATGTACTCTGAAAGTTTCTTCTGCATCAACGCCAGGCGCAGCCAAGCTCTTCCCCTTCCCACAGGAGTCCTACCACGTCCCAAAGACAAATGATAAATGTTGTTACACATAAGGTGGCAGGTCATCTAAATGCCAAATTCTGCACACAAAATAAAACAATAAAAGTGGGTGATTATTTCCCCCCGCTCTAATTAAACTAAAGGTAAAGGTTCCCCTCACACGTATGTGCTAGTCGTTCCTGACTCTAGGGAGCGATGCTGATCTCCGTTTCAAAGCCGAAGAGCCAGCGCTGTCCGAAGACGTCTCCGTGGTCATGTGGCTGGCATGACTCAACGCCAAAGGCGCATGGAACGCTGTTCCCTTCCCACCAAAGGTGGTCCCTATTTTTCTACTTGTATTTTTTATGTGCTTTTGAACTGCTAGGTTGGCAGAAGCTGGGACAAGTAAGGGGAGCTCACCCCGTTAAGCGGCACTAGGGATTCGAACTGCTGAACTGCCGACCTTTCGATCGACAAGCTCAGCGTCTTAGCCACTGAGCCACTGTGTCCCTCCCAATTAGAAAAACTCCCCCAATTAGACTAACGTAAATGCAAGAGGGGTTGTGGTGGCCGAGAAGAGCGGAGCGGTGTCCCAATACACAGAGTGAAAAACGGACTTGAATGTAAACTTTATTTGAAGTGTTTTTCCAATCGTACTGTTATAACTTGATTAAGAATCAGTTAGCAGTGGCTGTGTGGTTAAGACGCTAGGCTTGTTGACTGGAAGGCTGGCAGTTTGAGACCTAAGTACTGCAGGATGGATTGAGCTCCCATTACTTGACCTAGCTTCTGCCAATTTAGCAGTTCGAAAGCATGCAAATGCAAGTAGATGAATATCCAAAAGTGCTTTTTCACTGAGAGTATATGCACCAAGACAAATTCCTTGGGTGTCCAATCACACTTGGTCCATAAAGAATTCTATTCTATTCTATTCTATTCTATTCTATTCTATTCTATTCTAT